TCGTTACACAGCCCTATCAAATATAGTAACGCATTTTTTGGCGTAAAGGTAACGGCGTTATTAAGATGGGAATAGTAATCAATTAGATCACTGCAAGTGACTGAAAAGTGAGCAGACATATGCGCTGAATTAGAGACAGTAAAGGTGAGTGGGTCCAATATCATTGGTCTTAAAAAGTGGGTGGGTCTTGTCCCACCCATATACAATGGTTCCGACGCCCATAACTGAAATTACATATAAAGTAACAAGGTTATAAGTTATAGGCATGTTAAAAAAAACATTCTTAAAGGGATAGTTCACCCAAATATATAAATATATATTTTGATTATTAACTTTTGTTCCAAACCCGTAAGACTTTCGTTCATCTTCAGAACAAAAATTATGATCTTTTTGATGAAAAGAGACCAAATCGCTTGATGAACAGATGAGTAATTAATGACATCATTTTCATTTTGGGGTGAACTATCCCTTTAAGTTTCACTAATTGCATTTAATAGCTATATATTTAAACAAATACATTTTCATTTATTTTAAAATAATATGTAGTTAAGTGTCCAACCTTTACAATCAGTTTACACTTAAGTATATTAGTTATGTATTTAAAAGTATGCTAAAGTGTACTTTTTCACAAGTGTCCATCCCTACATTTTTTATCTCTTCAATAATCCGTTACACTCGGATGTACATCACAATAAAGAAGAAAAGATCTGTCGCCCACTACAATATCTCTGTTACATCGCGACTTTAAGCTAGGTCTGTACACCTCTGGATTACAACCACACACAAGTCAAAAGTCCATCAAGTATCAATTTAACAAATCCTTATTGATATTATTATTATTATCATCAGTGTTATATGTTATTATTGCTAAGATGTCCTGAATGGTTTTTAGCACATTGCTATAAAATTTCTAGGTGGTAACTTACTGGCCCAAATTGCTAATACTAAGGGTTGGGGGTTTATTCTTTAATGCATGTGCACAATATGCTTGCCTTTCTAATCGTATTATAGGCTAAGCTAATAAGCTACAACATTAGCTAATAATACATTACAGATGCATTTGAAGTCGTAGCATTTACAATATTTTTGACCACAGGATATTATGGCTTGACTGATGGTTTAACATAATTTGGCTATTCCTAAAGCCATAATTGCTTATAAACCCACCGATTACACTGGGAATTTGTGTGGATGGTTAAAGAGCTCTATTTGTGAAGAAGAATTATATAAAAGCTCTGAATCTGAACTCTGTGACTCCTTAAACTAATTATGTTTGTGTTGTAATTTAAGGAGGATAATGCACTGTAAAACCCAATAAGTTAACTCAACTCAAACTGATTGAGGAAACTGATTGCTACAAACCGTTTAAGTTTAAAAACAAATACGCATGAGTATTGGGAACTTATATATATTTAGTCAAATTCAAACATTTAGTGTTGGTTTATTCAATCATTTTGAGTATAGGTAACTTAAATATTTTAAGTTCATTCCATTAATTTAAAACTGGTTTGAGTTCATTTAATAAATTTAATCAAGTTTAAACAACTATATAGCTACTCAAATGGTTTGAGGAAACCGATTGCCGTGAATGATTTAAGTTAATTAAACTCAAATTTCCCCATATAGGGGATCACATTATGAAATAAATGTTTTTCTCCAAAACACGTTGGGAACAATTATTTGCACCCTTTTATTAAATACTTTTGGTAATCTCCTTTTGCCAAGATAACAGCTCTGAGTCTTCTCCTATAATGCCGGATGAGTTTGGAGAACAACTGACCTGAGATCAGAGACCATTCCTCCAGAAGCTCTCTAGATCCTGCAGATTCCCAGATTGGCGCTTCTCCTCTTCAGTTCAGCCACTCATCAGGACAGGGAACTGGGACGGTCATGGCAGAAGCTTCATTGTGTGTTTATTGATTTTTTTTTATTTTGGTAGGCTTCTGACCCCAAGATTCAAGTAATCTCTCCAGTTCTCCATCTGTGATCCTTGGAGAGTCTTTGGCCAGTCAAACTCTTCCTCACCGCGCATTAAGATAATACAGACACACGTCCTCTTCTGGCAGATTCGTAACATCTTTAGTTGACTGGAACTTCTTGATTATTGCCCTGATGGTCAAAATGGGGATTTTCAATTCTTTAGCCATTTTCTTTCAACCACTTTCTATTTTGTGATGCTTTACAATCTTTTAGATTGATATTCTTTAAGAACTATTCTTTAGTTTTACTCATTGTGATGGATGATTGAGGGAATTTGGCCTTTGTGTTTCCTCATATTTAAACTCCTGTGAAACAAGAAGTCATAACTAGACAATTTCATGTTCCTAGTCCTCCTGGTGTGCTAAAAAAAAGTAAATATTAATGGGAATATACTTCAGAGATATTTTACTAAAAAAAAAAAACATTTTACTTTTTACAAAAAAAAAAAATTCTAGGGGTGCCAATAATTGTGGCCAACGTGTTTTGGAGAAAAACATTTATTTCATAATGTGATTTCCCCCTCACTTTCAATTATTTTACTTCAATGAAAGGTACGATTTTTGTATTTTTTTTTAAATGAAAGATCAAAAGGATAAACAATGCAGATTTATTTTTTTACAGCTAATATATGTCAATATATATCTGTAATAATCAAGGTACAAGTTGAAGTGAGCATGCATATATATGCATGCCCAGGCACTTCAACTTGTACCTTGATTATGACAAAAACATTTTATGCTGGAAATAAAGAGTTATCCATTGCTCAGATACCCTACCTTACAGAAGGATGTCAACCTGACGTTCAATTTGATATTTTTGACAATCTATTGAAAGATTCATATCGAACCAACTAGGATGTGATGTTTCAGAAAACCCATAAAAAAACCTGTTTCATCCCAAATAAGGTGGAAAGTGAAATTGAGGACACCAGAACAAATCATATAAAATAAATATTGATTACCAATTAAAACAATATTACTAAGAAAACATGTTTGGCTTGAAGCTTCATCAGACTCAAAGTAAAAATAAAAATGAAGAAATACCTAGATTATTTCTAACATATAACGTTTTATATGTAAGAAGCCAGCCAAAAAGGCAAACATCCACTCAAACTAAAGTAACAAGATGATTTAAAATTAATCTCTGTGTTAACTGCAGTTTTTGATATTTTTTGTATCCCACCAACACTACACATTTGAACTCTTCCTAATCAAACACACTTGATTCATGCCTTGCTCGCCTGGAGGAACACGGTTTGGAAACACTGGCCTGTATAATGGGGACATTGAATCAGATGTGCTGCAGAGGAGCCAGTGTTCCTGCTTTATTACTGAGGGACACATAGACACGGAGTAACTGCGCCCTCGTGTGGTTCTCAAAGGCTTCTGAACACAGACATTCAACTCATTTATGCATGATTAAGTTAACCATAGTAGCCTAACTCTAAAACATTCGAAAATAATAGGGTACAAGAGTAAACTTAAACGTAAATAAACTCTTCTAATGCGTCGAAGCTCTATAACTGACACACCTGCTGTTTCCTCACCATTAAAGTGGCATCCATCCAGTTCCCCCTCATGAATGTTACTTTTCGGAACAAGTAAATCTTTTTGCGAGTAAACATTAAAATATTCCTAAATATTCTGAGCGTATTTCTTACATTACTGTGGCTGCATGTTTGAAAGCGCAGATTCGTCAAAGAAGCGAAAAAACACCATTAAAACGCCTGAATGCCATTGCATCAGATACAATACCAAAACGAAGATGCATTTATGAATAAATGAACACAATGGAAGTTTGTTGACTGCCAAACGTCACTGTAACAATGTGATTGGGTGAATTTACTCCACTAAAAACTGGCAAAACACTTAGTCACTTAAAAAAAAAAAAAACTTACGATTTTAGTTTGTTTTAACGTTAGGCCTATATCATTATTATTATCCTTATTCTCATTCCCCCCCCCAATCACAACTGTTTTTAATAGTAAGAAATGTTTCTTGAGCAGCAAATCAGCATATTAGAATGATTTCTGAAGGATCAATGTGACACTGAAGACTGGAGTAATGGCTGGAGATAAATAAATTTTGACGTTTATGAAAATAGAAGTGATTTTAAAGCGTAATAGTATTTCACAATATCAGTTGATACTTTGTCTAAGGCAAGGTAATTTATAGCTACTATAAAAGTAGCTACTGTAATATAAACATACATATCTGACTGTATCATTATTAGATGCATGGTCATTTTTAAGTTTAAACTTGCAAAGTCAACAAAACTGAGAAATATAATCACATACATTGATTTGATTATAATAACGGTTTGGTAATAATAGACCAGAAGAGCCAAAGACTGCACACATACACTAACCCCTGGTGTACATCTACTTTTCTTTAAGACTGGCATATCATTTTCATCCAAAAGGATCTTTTGAATAGTTACCTGACGCTGGCCAGATCCGGTTACACAACACAGCCAGACATCACCTGTGGCTCGGTCAAAACAGAGCCCGACTACTCAATGGAAAGATGGATCCTTTGTGTCGAGGCTTTCCAAGGAGCAGGTTGGAGTGTTTATTGTGTTGCATACACACATATCAGGTGTCAGAGCAGCCGTCACACACACACACCTGTTACCTGCTGATTTACTATTGACCTCCACGTGGCATCTGCTACACAGCACAATACAACACACAAATACAGTTCCCATTCACTAGTCAGTGAAAGTTGAGACGACTGACTGGTGTCATTATGGTGTGGTTAAAACACCCTGTGCCGTGCGTCCTCCTGCTGCTCAGTTAAAAACACACGAGTCCCCGCGTAATGACTGCATCTGGACACTTCAAGTCTGAACTATGAGCATCACTAAGAATTATTAAACACTGGAGTGAGAAATGTTTAAGAACAATCAACAATTACCAAAACAAAAGCAACACACACACACAATCAGTTTTGAACTTTATTTTAAACATTACAAAAACAATCTACAGTGGAAACAATTATATAAAAAAAAAACCCAAATGTAACAAAATTAATGCAACATACCAAACAAATAGACTTATTCAAATAATAGAAAAATAACAATTAATATCAAAAGTGTTGTAAAAATTGGTCAACTTTTTGGAGCTTATTTAGATTTTTTTGGTGTTTTTATTGTTCCTTTCTTCTGAGGTGTCGGTATCTCTTTGTTACATAAATCACAGACCCAGCAACCTGTTGTTGAGAGAGAGAGAGAGAGAGAGAGAGAGAGAGAGAGAGAGAGAGAGAGAGAGAGAGAGAGAGAGAGAGAGAGAGAGAGAGAGAGAGAGAGAGAGAGAGAGAGAGAGAGAGAGAGAGAGAGAGAGAGAGAGAGAGAGAGAGAGAGAGAGAGAGAGAGAGAGAGAGAATAAGTGAATATTGGTCTTTTGGACTGTTCAAAAATATCTCTTTGATGGAACATTTTCATTTTTTTATGTTAAGTGTTTTCTCCTTCACAGAAGCCTGTTATAGGAAAACTGCTCAACACTGGCCTAATTTCCCCCCACGTTTTATAGTTAGCTTTTTCTTTGTATCTGAAGGCCACAGTCCCAGTAAATAATTAAAAATTTAAAGTTGAAATCAAATCATTGTCTATTAGCGTTTGCTATATACAAAACACTACAAGAAATTAACACTTATTCAGCGAGCGAGGGTGCATTAAATTGATAAAGTGACAGTAAAGAAATTCATAAAGTTACAAAATATTTCTATTTCAAATAAATGGTGTTCTTTTGAACTTATTGAAAAAAAATGATTGTTTCCAAAAAAACATGAAGCAGCACACATGGTTTTAACATTGATGATAATCATAAATGTTTCTTGAGCAGCAAATCATCATATTAGAATGATTTCTGAAGGATCATGTGACACTGAAGACTGAAGTAATGATGCTGAAAATCAGTGGTGGACAGCAACGCATTTTTACTTTGTTACTGTACTTAAGTACATTTTTTCAAGTATCTGTACTTTACCAAAGTATTTTTTTTTCCTGTGCATCAGGTTTTAAAGTGACAGCAGCCTAATATCCGGGCTCCCAAATTATGAGACAATATTAAAAACATCTAAAAGGCAGTTTTCCGTATCGATGTCAAAATTGTGGCCGGTAAAAATGCAGTGGCTACCGAGAAAAAAGGTTAATGTCAAGCCCTGTGTGTGTGTGTGTGTTTGTATACTGTATATATATATTTTTATTTATTTATTTATTTATTTATTTATATATACATATAATTTGATTTATTAAAAGTAAACAAAAATCTTGCCCTAAATATTTGATGCAACCGAAGCCTATTTCTAACCGTTTCCTTACATCAGGCTTCTAAAAAGCTTGTGAGGTGAAGTAAGATTTAAACAAACACAATATTGAGTTAATCTTGTCCTGTTAATGTAATGTTGAATTTGAGCTATGTATTCACGTGGGAGAGAGGCCGTCAGCTGCGGACTCACCCAGAGGAATGGAGTCCATGCCCACACAGAAGGTGTGGTAGCCTCGATCACACTTGTCACAGAACATCATCTCCTCCTCATGGTGGGGCTGCTCGCAGACGGTGCAGGTCTTGCACTCCATGCACTGCCAGGGATAACTCTTGATCTGGGACACCAACGCCACACTCATATCCAAGCAGGACGGGTGACCTGAACACAAAGTGAGGCTTCTCATCATTTCCGCTTTTCTCACCATGCTATAAACCCTCAGGCTGATCCAACAGGAAAACAGCATCTTCAATCATCAAGAGGACAATTTTGACCCTGCGGCTTTCAGGTAACAGTTTTAAGATGAGTGCTGTCCTACTACTACATTGAAGAGAAATGTTTAAAGGAATAAACACTAGCAGTGTGGTAGACCACTACATCAGGAAGAGATGGTTTTGACTTACCACTGTTTTGGCACTGGGAGCAGTGGATGAGAGCCTCCGGTTTGCCTTTCTTGTTGGCCTCCTTACCCTTCTGGCATATGCCACATATAGCATTGGGAATGACCTTAGGCTGCAAGGGCAGAGTAATGCTATAAACGCCATGGCAACCAAGGTCATACACACCATCATGTGATATTACGCTTGAACCAAAACCACTATGATTTTCAAAATTAAAGGGACAGTTTACTCAAAAATGAACATGTTGTCACCATTTACTCACCCTCATGTTGTTCCAAACCTGTATGAGTTTCTTTCTTCTGTTGAACACAAACGAAGATATTTTGAAGAATCAAATTGTTGGTAATCAAACAGTTGATGGCACCCATTGACTTCCATATTATTTTTTATAAGTCAATGGGGTCCATCAACTCTGGTTACCAACGTTCTTCAAAATATCTTCTTTTGTAAAAGTATTGTTGTGGTAGAAGTTCATTTTTCGGGTGAACTATCCCTTTAAATGAGCAAAAATACCAGAATAATCTGGGTGCAGGATCTTAAAATTAATTGGAATGGTCTAATATTAAAATTTCAAGAAGCACAAAATATGTACACAAGCAACAAAGAAGAAGAAGAAAAAAAAAGGACCAACATCTGTATAGCACATAAATCAGGATAAAACATACACTACCATTAAAAAGTTTGGGGTCGCACAGATGTTTTAAAGAAATTAATAACAAAAGCGAGATTAAATACATTTATAATACATATATATTATCACTGTTTTACTGTATTTTTTATCAAATAAATGCAGCCTTGGTGAGCATAAGAGACTTCTTTCAAAAACATTAAAAAACCTCAGAGAGCCCAAACTTTTGATTGGTTGTGTATATAATTTAGAGTATATCAAGACTGATACACAATGTGACCATTTGAATGATTGTTTCAGTAAATGTTTGGAACAAAACCATGCAGGAAAACATTTTTAGCAATGCATAAATTATTGTGATATTCAAAATTAGAATAGAGGAAAACGTAGAGGAAGCTACAAAAAATTGCTATATTATGAATAGTTGATCTCAAGAAAGGCGTTTCACACCAATAAACAAATACGCAGTAGCAAAAGCCAATTGTAAATAGTAACAAAAGTGTATCAAAAGGTCACAACACCCAAAAAGTGGCCAAAATACAGAACATTTCTGTAATTCTTGTGCTACTCATAACAACACAGAATTGACACTTTCATTCAGTGCTCACAGCCATTAAGAAATCTCTCTACAGCCTAATTTCTTTAAAACCTCTTTATTCAAAAGGTTACTCTAAATACGGACATGTCAAAGGCCCTACCATAAAAACTGTGAAACTAAAAAGAGCAGTGACAACATTGTGCTGGGGAAACGAAAGAGGCAGGCCAAGCTACAGGTTAAAGACACATTTAGATGTTAGTGAAGTTAACGGAAGGACAAAAGCCTTCATTCTGTCACAGTAGGAAAGTACTAGCCGAACTAAGAGTATTACATTTAAAAAAAAAAAAAAAATTCACATAACAGGAACAAGAACATTTAATGTTTAACTACAAACACTTTTAACAAGACTCAAGAGATTGAATAAAAGAGGGATGGGAACAAACAAGCCAAAAACATACTGAGAGTGAGAGGATCAACAGAAGCTGTACCTACTGTTTTAATCAAGTACTGCAGTGACTCGGGACTACAACTCTTAAATCTTAAATTAGAACAACATGAACATTTTTGTTTAAAGAAAAAATCCAGTTTCATTTAATTCTGGAATTCATCAGACTAGACCACAGTGCATTGTGGGATACAGTATGCACTGTAGTATACTGGCAGACTACTCTGACAAACGTAGCAGATCATTCAGGTACTCTCTGGATACAGAACGTCTACATGTTATGCATACTCGGAGAAGTATACTGTTCGGAGAATATCCTGCGCCAGTTTACACTGCTCATACTTCTAGACATAACGGAACTACAGGGGAAACTAATAATCAAGACAGGTCATCAAATAAGCCTTTAGCTAAGATGTAATGTCAAAATTGCTTCAAACTGTCCAATAAAAAGATATGCAAACTTATCCACAAGAAAAGGTTTGATAAGAAAAAACCTTTGCAACCCAGAATATATATATATATATAAAAACAACAACACCTATTGCACAAATCAGCATAATTTCTGTATGGAAAAATATAACTTTAAATGCAAGCATGTGGGCAAGCTACAATTTTTTGTATTATCACACTGCCAAATTACTGTTTGTTATATATTCACTTTTTATACATTTTGTTTTGTACAAAAAAAAGTGAGATGTTGTTGAGGATAATTAGTAATGTGTTAGGTAAACCTTTTGTTGATCCGCCAAGCATTTTGACAAAAAAAAAAAAAAAAAAAAAAAAACTTACACAATTTAAACAGAGTAAATCAAAGGAAACACTGATATCAAGCATATTTAAGGTGCCCATAGAGTCAGTATAGAAAACAACTGACTTCGACAATGTTATACCAAACAGTAGTTTGATAACCATTTCATGCCTGAAAGATAGTTATGCATCACTAGCATGACAAATAAAGGATAAATAAAGCTCAGTTTAAAAGTGCACTCAGTTTGTTTCACTGGCTCTTCTTCATCTAGCATCTTTAAAGAGACAATACATACAAAAATGCAAACTGTCATCATTTACTAACCATGTGTCTCCAAACCTGTATGACTTTCTTCTGTGGAACATAAAATAATATATTAAGAACTAAATTATGAATTCCTTTCTTCAGCGAAAAAAAATATATATATTTTAAGAAATGTCTTTTTTTTTAATCCATGATACAATGGATGTCAATGGTAACCAAAACTGTTTTGTTACCAACATTCTTCAAAAATTTTATGATTTGCAAAAGTCAGTCATAGTTTGGTTGAACTATCAGCGTGGACGAATACAATTTTATGATAGTTGGAATAGCTATATTTCAAGTCTTCTGTAGCCCTATGATAACTTTGCATGGTTCTTCTATGGTGACTTTAATGGGCGGGGGGCTCGGGAATCATATAGATTATGATCCACAAAAGAGATTTCACAAAAAATAAACCAACGTACAAACATACAGAATGAGATCCACAAAAAAAGAGAAAACAATTCACAAATACGATCAAAATGAGACGTGCAAATATTTTTTAAATTGTGTATTTAATCTATTTTTTCAGCTTTATAAATGTTTTCAGCTAAATGGAAAAGAGCTTTAAAAACGCATGTTGGAAACATGAAACATGCTTGTTATTATTGCTATTTTGTTATTATTACTAGTAACTTGGTTGGGTTGCAACACAGCTGGCCATGTGATTTCAAAACAATAACTTGTCATATGATTGGAGTCCTCATCCAAAAGTGCTATTCAAATCTGTTTCTTACGATTACATATTTATAAATCAGGGAAAGCATTACTGAGTGCACTCTTAATATTTCTTCAACCATTTTATATCTATAGTATGGATTAACACTTTTCAGAGTTTAGCAGCCATGACAGGCAGGTAAGATAGATATTGATAGATAAATAGAGGTATTTTAAGCTATATGAAGTACTGTTCACTTTATAAGGGTATTTACCTTCACAAGTGCATCACAGCAAAAAAGAAAAGAAAAGAAAAAGCCCTAAACTAACACAAAAACGTTATTGCTCAAAAGTCTGTGCAGAACACAGGAACTGTCACTGGGTTTTCCTGGCACTGAAGAAAACGAGTGCCACACTTAAAAAGGAAAATAAGTTCCATTGACTCGTGAAGTCCCAATCTACGACCACCAGGGAGAGTGTGTGTGGGTGCATGAGTGTGTTTGGACAAGGTACTGATGATCAAGTCAGAAGAAAGAGGACTTCTCTGCTGAAAGTGCTGGAAAAGAGGGGTGGCGAAAAGGGGAGAAGAGAGGTGTTGGGTTATTAAAAAAAAAAAAGATCAGGGGCTTTTTTCTTCTACCTTGTACCCAGGGACAGATTTGTGTTGGATGCTGCGAGGAGTGGCGTCTTTGCCCTGGGTGCCGGGTCGGTCTTTGCTCTTGACTTTGGATTGAATTCCGCTGTCTTGGCTGTCTCCATCTGAAGTGTTTCCTGATGAACTGTCCTGCAAGTCAACAGGAAATAAATTGACCCACTTTATTTAACACACTTCCTGTCATCCACGATTCATTGCTGCACGTTATTCAAATGTTGGATCTCTCCTTTCATATAGAGACCACTTTTCTCAATCCAATGAATTATTTAGTTAACAATAACAACATTGATCCAAGATTTTGGTGAGATTGGTAGATTTTTTTTATCACCACTTCAATCAGAAATACACTATATTGGCAAAAGTATTGGGACACCCCTCCAAATCATTGAATTCAGGTGTTCCAATCACTTCCATGGCCACAGTTGTATAAAATCAAGCACCTAGGCATGCAAACTGCTAGCCTGACTGCGTCAGACTTCGTACTTCCGCTCTATTTCAGTTCGCTTCTGTACTCAGTCTGAGACATCGACATGTCTCTCAGATTTCCTCCGGCCTGAAAACAGCCGGCCAATCAACGAACAGAGGGCGGGCTGAGAGCCGTGACGTAGACGCTAAGTACCGAGTTTAAGATTGTGACCGCGGATATGGAGACACGGGATGCAATTCGCTCTGTTGTGGAGAATATTCCCGGCATTTGCAAACTGAAGCCCGAACAAGAAGAGTGTTTGTTAAACATTTTGAATGGAGGTGATGTTGTGGCTCTACTCCCGACAGGTTTTGGGAAAAGTTTAATTTATCAACTATTACCGATCGTCAGAGAGAAACTGGGCAGGCCAAAGGCCGGCAAGGCGATAGTTGTGATTGTGTCCCCCTTGGTTGCACTCATGGAGGATCAGGTTCAGGAGGCAGCAAAACTCGGTCAACCATGTTCACTCCGGTATTTCGCTCGATGGTTTCGTTTTCGCATCATACATGTGTTTACAGTGGAAGTTCAATGCGGCTGAACTGGTGAATAACACACGTCATAACCAGACGTTATGTGATTGGCTTACGGGTAACGAATGATTTTATTCGAGAAAGAAAACACTTTTCAATTATGCCATGCCAGACTCTGTCTACGAAGCAAAGCGAAGTAGCAGAGTTTGGTATTACCAGGCTAGAAAACTGCTTCTGCAAACTCGCTCTCAGGAGCTCAGTGAATTCAATCGTGGTACCATGATAGGTTGCAACCTGTGCAATAAGTCCATTCGTGAAATTTCCTCACTACTAAATATTCCACAGTCAACTGTTATATTATAACAAAGTGGAAGCAATTGAGAACAACAACAACTCAGCCACGAAGTGGTAGGCCACGCCGAAGTCGCCAACGTTCTGCAGAGTCAATAGCTACAGACCTGCAAACTTCATGTGGCCTTCAGATTGAGGCCGAGCAGCTGCATCCAAGCCTTACATCACCAAGTGCAATGCAAAGCGTGGGATGCAGTGGTGTAAAGCATGCCGCCACTGGACTCTAGAGCAGTGGAGACGTGTTCTCTGGAGTGACGAATCACGCTTCTCTGTCTAGCGATCCGGTGGACGAGTCTGGATTTGCTGGTTGCCAGGAGAACGGCACTTGTCTGACTGCATTGTGCCAAGTGTAAAGTTTGGTGGAGGGGGGATTATGGTGCAGGGCTGTTTTTCAGGGGCTGGGCTTGGCCACTTAGTTCCAGTGAAAGGAACTCTTAATGCTTCAGCATACCAAGACATTTTGGACAATTTCATCCTCCCAACTTTGTGGGAACAGTTTGGGGATGGCCCCTTCCTGTTCCAACATGACTGCGCACCAGTGAACAAAGCAAGGTCCATAAAGACATGGATGAGCGACTTTGGTGTGGAGGAACTTGACTGGCCTGCACAGAGTCCTGACCTCAACCCAGCTTTGGGATGAATTAGAGCGGAGACTGCGAGCCAGGCCTTCTCGTCCAACATCAGTGCCGGACCTCACCAATGCGCTTCTAGAAGAATGGTCAAAATTCACACTCCTAAACCTTAAGTAAAGCCTTTCCAGAAGAGTTGCAGCTGTTATAGCTGCAAAGGGTGGGCCAACTGCATATTAAACCCTACGGATCAGGAATGGGATGCCATTAAAGTTCATGTGCATGTAAAGGCAGACGTCCCAAAACTTTTGGCAATATGGTGTATGTTGGGTTGCGAAAGTAGAATGTGTTGTGAACATGGTTTCGGGTTGACATTTTTTTCTCAATACACTTTCCTGGTCATCTGAGCATGTTATTCCGTAGAATTTAATCTTTTTTTTTTCTTTCAACTTCAAATTTGTCAACCCTTAGAACCACCTGGCTCCATTCTGGTATAAAGTGGGTTTCACTTGGACACATGTCAGATTGCAGAAGTAAAATAAATAAATTGGTGATGTCAATTTAACACATAAAATTGGTGCAATTATGGAAAAAATAATGCGTTAAAATTAACGCTTTTAACATAGGCCTGTTGCGATAATTACTTTATCGACTTATCAAACGATATAAGGACACGAGTGACGCATATTGCCCATTGTTTACATACATTTTTCACAAACATTTAGCATCTGTCATCTGGTCTGCTCTCTGTCTGAGGCGGGGCTCAGGCAGCTCCTCCACACACACACGGAGACCTGCGTATGTCCTCCTTTAGGTCAAGTCATATATTTGTGAAAAAAATCAGTTTGCCATCAGTTGTCAGAAGATAAGAGCGATAGCTTTGTCATAGTATGCTTTCAACATTAAAACGGCTTTTCCATGTTTGTCGTCAGCACTGTTCAATGCATTGAATCAATGCCATTGATCTCTATGAAGTGAAACATCAGCTTTAGCATTACCCCAGGTGATGTGTTGATTATCGATTGAGCCTTTTAAAGTGGAACTCAGTTAAATTCATTTCAACACCTTGATTCATTCACAAAAAAAAAGAAAAAAGAGAAGAGCGTTTTTAAGCGTATTATGAATGGTTTAATGATGACTCACTCATAGACAGTCACTTGTGGCCACCTACTATAACAATGTAACTGGACTAACTGACCGCTGGCGTGTGCAGAGATGTGCCAGTGCTGATGCTTCTAAAATATCAAGCAGGGCAATGACTGTGTGCGTGATAAAGCCTATTAGAATAGTTAAAATGCCACAAAAAAAAGATATGGGGGAGATTCCCCTGTATGGGTCTTATTTCTAAACTATATCATATGATATCACAGCACAAGTAAAAGTGCTATTTTCCCCAAATATCTGCACAATTTCAAATGTGATATTGATTTTATTCAACAGTTTAATAAACAAGTTAAAATACGGTTTACATTTTAGACAATTGTCAATATTGCCTGATTTTGCTCAATTTCACCAATGAAAATAGTTCTAAACAAGGCCACAGCAGAACTGTTGTGCGTCTCTGAGCAACACACAGCGGTGTTTCATTACTGAATAAATCTGTGGTTTTTAACTAAACAATTGAGCCAATGATTTACTGACTCATTCATAAAGACGATCACTTGCTTCGTTCCTGAATAAATGAGCCGTTTGAATGAATGACTCATTAAGACAGTGACTTGCCATCACGATGCACTTTTGAATCATTATATATCTTTAAATCAAACACCTGGCTTTATAGTTGTCTAAATATAAGGGAATGACAATCTAATTGCCTTAACCCTCTGGGGTCTGAAGGGGTTTTTGGGCCCTGGAGATGTTTTGACATGCCCTGACATTTGTGATTTTTCAATTACTTATAACATTTTAATGGCTAAAGTCTGCTTACACTGTACTCAGCACAAACTCTGCTACAATAATATGTTAGCAGCATGTATGTAAAAGTTTCTCAAATCATCCTGACCACTTATGCACATACAACAATAGATTGATTTAAAATGTGTAAGACATTATATGTTAGAAAGGCAAGAGTCAATGGCCATGCATATTGATGTGATTCACACCTGGGGACTCCCCTATAATGAGCCTATCAGGGTGAATGGGACTGAGGGAAACAAAAGAATGTGAGTTTTTTCGTAGTTTATTTTCAACATAGTGCACAACATAATCAAAATACACATAATAAAGGTCAAAGGCACAATATTGAGCACATTGACCTAAACAGACAATTGAACAGTTATGCACGTTTGCCATTCCAGAAAACAGTTCCTGTTCAACTGTAGAAACAAGTGAACCATACCTGGCATTTCCAATGTGTCTGCTGCTTCTTTTGCCATGCACTGAAGAAACAACATCAGTAGTCAGTGATGGAGCTTATTTTACCATGATCATATCAGTCCAATGTAGTTGAACAGCTTGCTGACGGTACAGCACTCTGAGAGACAAACAGTTTGAAGACACTCGTGAAAGTTTGAGTCAGAAGGACTCCTCAGTGGTGCAGGTATCTGATCACTGTATATAAAAAAAAAAAAAGAGAGAAAAAAAAGCCAACAACAGTAAGCATGATGTCAGGAGCAATGATATTATTACACTAGAAATCACTAATAGCTTACTAATATTGAAGATTGCAGATTAAAAAAATAAGAAAGTCATATTTGTAGTCATGACACACATGCTGCATTATCATACAGTACAAAAACAAAAATAAATTATTATTGTTTAGCAACATAAACATTGTTTATACATTTGAACAGTATTTCACAGTAAACACTATTCTAAATATTCTTAGACTGTAACATTCATCATTTAACAGTATAGACACTATTACTATTATATTGTATTATGCTTTTATATTACAGAGCATAAAAACACTCTTTATACAACATTTACATGCAATACCAAAATAATTCATATTTCAACATCTCACTCGATTTCACACATTTTAGTCTGGTAATATAGTTTGAAAAAAGCCGACTAGTAAAATGCGTAAACATTTATGTGAAAACACGTTAACTAATGCAAAAGAATGAATGACTTACTCAACAGTAAATGATATCCTCCGCTGGATCAAGCCGCGCGTCACATTGTGCTCTTCTTCTGAGGTAAATTCAAGGCTTTTTCCACATATCGTGTCTTCTTCCAAAACTGATGAAACGTAGAGTAACCTGACGCAGCTTGATGGTTTGTTTATCCAGGTGATATGGGCATTTACAGGTTCGTTTAACTCAGGTGGATGATTACCGTATGAATAGCCTGCGCTGTGCGTGTGTGTGACCACATTACAAATAATGAGCTCAGACAGGAAATATTGTACATCTCATTGGGTTCATAAGGATTACATAATCAGCGTAGATTTGATTTCAATTGGTTCATTTATAGGTAGACATTTCAAGCTCTCTATACACGTTTCTCATGTGAGTGTGGAAGTATTCGCAGATTTTCGGTTCATTTTTGTGACGCGTTTCGGAAAGAAGTTTGTGGAGATTGAAACAGCAGAAAGCGCACCCTGTTTGCTTCCTTTATTTTACAAAAGTGGAGTGGTTTTTTGTAGTGCTGTCAAACGATTAAAATATTTAATCGCAATTAATCGCATTAATGTCATAGTTAACTCGCAATTAATCGCAATTAAACACACATTTTTATCTATTCTAAAGGTCTCTTGATTTATTTTTGTCCCATTATTTTTTCTCATTTTAATGCTCTTATCAACATGGAAAAGTGGATCGGCTTGCTTTGTGCAAATGTTTTTTATTGAAAACAACATTGGCATATACTGTGTTCAATTTCACACAAACATTCTCACTTGGAGCAAATAATCTCTCACACAATGTAACACTGTCCATCAATAAAAGGGTGAAAGAAATCCTGACGAGGTCCTGATATTGACGAGGGGGCGGAGAATTCGCATCAGGTGTGTGTGTGTGTGTGTGTGTGTGCTTGGCCATCATCAAGTGGTATTTCAGACTGCACGTGCTGCGATGATGATAGCTCAGTTCACAACGACAAAACACACAGATCACTTTGGTCTCGTCAATGGAACCATTTGGCAACTTTTTAAAAGTAAACTTTCCATTCAGAATCTTATTGGCATCCATTTCGGCATCTCGCGCTCGTCATCCACTCAAAACGTAACGTTAACCTACTATTTGGCCGGCTCGCAAGCCCAAACAAGTGTGTGCGGCGTGCCTGTTGTTTTGTTTCCGGTCTAGCTAGATCCGCTTGCGCTTTGGTTGACGAAGCAACAAAACGTCCTCGCGCGGCGCAAGCCATTGACATGAATGGGTTTCATAGCGCAGCGCCACGCATGCCGCGTCCTGTTGCAAAAGCATGTGAAAAAAACTACAAAGTTTGCTAGGCCAAAAAGACCGTTAATCTCACGATAAAAAAATGTATGCCATTAAAATGGGTTTGCGTTAACGCCGTTAATAACGCGTTTAACTGACAGCCCTAGTTTTTTGTAATTATGAGTGCACTGAAATAAAAATAGACCTTGAAGAATAGTTTCAAATGATGTCCCACTGTTATCTGTATGACCAATAATGAGAGAGTATTTTAAGTTATTTTTGATGTTATCAGGAAAAAAATGCAGCAAAATGCTTTGGCTCGTTAGTGGACCCCAGAGGGTTAACTATAACTAAACTAGTCTCAGCCTCAGACGTCACGGCCACAGACTGTTGGCTGAACGTCTGATGCATAAGGCACACAAAATTGGAAACATTTCAGGAGTCTGATTGGTTGAATTCTACAGGACTTCCAGGAGACGTGTGTGTCACGTTCCGCCTGGAAACAAAGATGCCGTGGTGCCAAACCCCCTCATGGAAAAAGAAAGCTATTTTGTTTACAACTGTGATAAGCGCTTATCAGGATTAACTAAACGTTGGATTTTCAAAAGTATGTAAAGTTCGCATTGTAGACTCTTTAAAATAAGTTCAAGAGTTGGTTTTTTTAGGTTATTGTAGGGACATCGAAGTTATATTTTAATCCCCCTAAACATGACGCGTCGCAAAACTAACTGTGATTGGCTGCTTTACATGTCAGTCAGACGGCCTCAGGGCAGTCCTTGGCCAATAAAAGCTGCTATGGACTCCAGACCTTCTACCGTTAGTCTGAAGGTCTGGAAGCGCGAGACTATAACTAAACCAACTGTGCATTTATAGTCACGGTCACATGAAAACAACTTACAGAGGAACCTTTATGCTTTTTTCCGTCTTCTTTTCCATCTTCACCATCATCAGAGTCGCCATCACTGTCCAGGGCAGGCAGCTCTGGGTCCAGCGGAGGCTCAAACAGAGCTGTGTTCAAGGGCAAGTAGCGGAGCTCATTTGGAGAGTACCTGGATGAGGCAAGAAAAGCTCAGTCAGAAAGCTAAACAGTGGCTACATTTTAGGACAACATTCCAGCATTGTTCTCAAGTACAATGGAGACTACAATAACTCATCAACAGGTAAATCAGAAGCTCAGCAGGATTTGCAAAAAAGCAGCAACAATTTATTACACAATTCACCTTTTGTAGTACTCTTGGAACTGGCCAGGGATGAGTGCAACTGGGTATGGACCGGTCTTGGTTCTTTCTGGAGGGAGGACTTTGTATTTTCCTTGAGGTACCTGAATAATCTACAGGTAAAAGAGAAAGCGCGAAACAAATAAGTTAATAAATATTTACATAGGTGTTCAGAGCCATTGCTAGGGTGTTGCAGGTCCTAGGGTTTTCTACATACTTTTCATACATTTTCTACACAGAATTTTGTTAATATGCCTGTCTTGACAATAGGGCTGGGTATTGACACAAATTTCACAATTCGATTCGATTCAATATAGATTATTTTGGATATCAGGTACAATACATGGCAAAGAAAACAAATCTCTTAACTAATGCTGTAAACTATGGGAGTCAGTTGTAGCCTACTAGGCTTCATTAGCCTACTATAATGTTGAAGGTAAAAATTAACTGATTTGTAGCTATACAAACACTTAAATTACACTTTTATTTATTTTTATAATAGGAAAGTTATATGAAATATAACAATTTAAATGGTGGCTGTCATAAAAACTTGCCAGATTTATTCAAACATGCATTCAATATTTAAGAACATTAAAAATTAAAAATATGGTGCATATATTTAGCAAAATTCTCCTCTCTAGAGTTAATTTTTCTAGCTGACTAACTGACTAAGTTTATGGTCACATATGGTTTTGTGACGTCTGAGGTAAATGTGACGTTACATGACATTGTTTACAAGTTGTTTAACTGACGTCTTTCCACAGATGAGACACTGATTGAGCGATACCACGTTACATGATATGGATTTCGATGAGTTCCAGAGCGATCTCACGCACGCCACAGCGACAAAACGCTATTTATGTTTTTTAATTTCATAAGAAAATGGACATAATTCTAAATTTGAGACTATTTCATAATAATAGTCACAAAGCACAAAGATTATTGATGGGCGCTACAATGTTCCATTCATTCATCAAATGAAAACAGGATGACTAATTGATTCTTGAGATTTAAGAATCGATATTGGTTCGTAAAAATGAGACTCGATTAATATCGAGAAATCGATATTTGTTACCCAGCCCTACTCGACGAGTATCCTTACAAACACAGTCGGTTACGTCTTAAGTGAATGTAAACAGTTGAGAAAGAAAACGGATGCGTATCAGTATCCATGCATTCAGTCTTAGAGTGACAGCAGCCCAATATTCATGTTGCTCTGTGTCATTAATGTTAATAAAAAAAAAAAAGCCAGAGAAATCCCTTGTTAGACCTACATGAAAAACTATTTATTTTAAAAATCTGTTTATAGCAATGTTTATTTAATTTGTCTCTTTGTTCTATTGCATTTATTTATCCATGCTTGTAATTTGTTTATTTGTTCTTATTGTATCACTGACTGTTCAGTTGTCTTTAATAACATTTGATCTTTATTAGTTAGGGCTAGAAGCTTTTGCTGTGGTATCAAAGTAAAGTGAGATTTAAACAAGAAATAGAAAGGATAAGTTATTTTTCGTCTCCCCCAACACACACTTTTTTTTTTTTTTTCCCAACCCAAAAAATGATCGGATCTGTGACACAAAAAGTGCAATATTATACGAACCGCAAGTTTTCTGGGTGGTTACTGGGATAATGTTATGTAGTTATTAGGGTATTCTGGCTGACTATAAGGGCTGCGTTTAAGTTAAATTTGTTATGTCCTTCCCTCTATAACTTTCCTCTGCCTTTGCACAAGTGCCCACTACTGGTGGAACCCTTGAAATTTGTTTAAATGGAACGAACTAAGCCTTAGATCACTTGGAATCTGATATGGAGCAGATTTATTATTTACAGTTTTTTTCCCTATGAATTTACACACCATTCTATAGGCCTGTATGCATGCTTGGGCTGTTGGAGAAAATATTTAAAAAATAAGTGAGACCTGCAGTAACGTAGTGTGATTGTGTGATCGTTCCATCTGTCAAAATTGAGGGGTCGAGGGGCAGTCCAAATAAACTTCCCTCGCCCACTTGACGAAGTTGACCGCGCTTCAAAAAGGCGGGGGGTGGGGTGGATTCCCCTGAGGGGAAGTGCTTAGGGAAGTGTACGTCTAAAAGCGGAGTGCTAGATGCTTTCATTTGTGTATCTAAATGAAGCTGTTTTATATGAATTTTACACACTATAGCACACAATCAGATTATCAAAGAACATGAGCACATCTTACATGTGTTTGAAGGTCAAAATAAGCCCTTCTCTCTTCCATCCGCTCTCGGTTGAAATTACTGTTGAATTCAGCCGCTTTTTTAGCAGCTTTCTTTATGTACTCCGGCACTTTACTGGCTTCAACTTTTTGAGGATTCTGTTGTTGCATTTGCTAAAAAGAAAAAAGTCAGACTTTTAGCACTCACAGACTTCATTATTACATGATTATTCCTGCAAACAAGCATATAACAGTTTACATGTTTTTGAAAAAAGTCACTTATGCTCACCAAAGATGCGTTCTTGCGAAATATTATTCAAATTTTAAATTATTTTCAATTAAATGTATATAATATGCTATTTATTCCTGTGATAGTAAAGCTGAATTTTCAGCATCATTCGTCCAGTATTCAGCATCACATGACCCATTCTATCATGATGATTTGTTGCTAAAGAAACATTTCTGATTATTATCAATTCAATATCAGTTGTGCTGCGTTTTTGTGGCAACTGTGATATTTCAGTATATCAGGATTTTTTTTATGAATAAACTAAAGTAAAAAATTGACTACTTGCACAAATACTTATGTATTCTATTCTTATTACGGCTCAGGCATTTCTGGTAACAGTGCTCAGTGCACCTACATAGAGACAGTTACTCATGAGAACACAGATTATTGCTAGGTTTTAGGCCTGTCAGTTGATTAAAACAATGTTGCCTGCATTAACATGAATTATACTGAGCCTGCAGAAATGTTCCTATAAATGTATTATCCAAATGTGCATTGTGTATAATAAATAAATAAATATATTTCCCTACTAACCTGCAGCAGTTTAGTACTCATTTACAGTGTTTTTCACATACTGATCATATTTCATACCTGTTGAGTTTCCCTTTATAAATGAATTTGACTGGTAAACAGGATTTGCTTGTGGTGTGCTTGTTGTGCTCTTATTCCAGTTATTTAAAATAGTTTGAATTAATCCGCTACTTGCCTTAATTAAATCTGCTTACCATCATTACATTTCTTGTCTTAAACCTTAACGCATTGACAGCATTACTACTATGAATATTAAGAATTTTGGGCATAAACATGTAAATGACATACATTGAAATACAAAAAACATTTAAAACAAATAATTAAAGGTTCATTCTGATATTATTCATCAGAATATCTCTTCTCCTGTCCCTGAAATCAAGAAAATGTCCGGGTTTTTAAATAGACTTCTCATTTTAAGTGGTGTTTAGTAAAGTAGGTGGCTACAGCACACTGAAAATATACCGTACATAAGCGGAAGCCAGCGAGCCATACTTTGAAAACTAAACTCAGAGCATGTAGTTCATTGAAATAGATTTTTTTGTTGTAACAATCTATAACTCTTCAATGTTAATTGTGATCAATGTAATGCATCCTTGCTGAGTAAAATTATTTGTATATAAGAGTACCATATAATTTATATAACGAATAAAAGAGTGTTACTCACTGCACTAAGAGTGCTCACAGAGTACTCCTTAGTTATCCTCTGCCGCTCTCGCTCCTGCAGTATGACTGAGTACTCGGCATGTTTGGCTGGGTACTCCTTAATCATCAAATCAATAACTTCATCACTGCGCAAAGCAGTGAGACCTAAGGGAAGAAGGGTGGAACATCAATATAGGATTCTCACATTAAGCCTTAGACTAGGCTGATACAGTGAATTTACTACTACTATTATTATTATTTCTAGTGGGTACACGTCAAGGCTGAAAAGCTGTTGAGCAAATTATTAATTAAATCACTGTGTTGGAAAAGTAAACCATCTCTGTATGAGACATAAATCAGTTAATTTCAGGGTAAAGTCACCTGTTGTCAATTTTACAACATTTTTTTCTTTCTGTTAAGCAAATTCAAGATAATAAGACTGAAAGACTGAATTATTAAAATCTTACCCAGTGTACACTGCGTTTCCGTAATGACATTTTGCTCTCTCAGATAAAGTTTTTCTTTGTGAGACAGGTCTCTTCTTTCCATATCTGGTATGAAGTTGAAAATTAAAACATGTGTTGACAGCAAAATACAAAACTTCATCTCTATCATCAGTAACTGAATCCGAAAATAAAACCACTATTTGACCGATAACATGAAAGTGAAAACCATTCAATTCAATTTTCCCTGCTGATAGTTAGAGGCTTGTCGCTCATACCTGGATACTTCCGTTTGAATGACGTGACTCCCAAGTACTCGCTCACTTGTTCTTGTAGCATATAATACTCTCCTGTGTCATCCGGAGGCCATTTGTATTCTGTCAGATTTTCAGCAGGGAAGTATGTTGGCCTGTAATGAAACAGCAAGGCTCAATACACAGAAAGTAACCCTGGGCCAGAATGAGGAGTAAAAATTGGCCTTGGCCAGCCAATAACGCCACCAACAGGTGCAGTTTCATAGAAATAAATATAATATGATGGTGCAAGAAAAACTGCTAAATAGTTCCATTGTCATGGTGAAGGAATATATTTTAATAAAAAAAATATGGCTCGTATGAAATATTTCTAGATAAATTCTCTTAACCCTCACATTGTGTTCTGGTCATTTTGACCCAGAGAGGATTTTCTTTTCCCCAAATATGCTAGTTAATGTATTCGCACTGGACTAAAACTTCCTCACAAAGGGTATTACAACTTGAACTTGCCAAAAAATGTATAATTTGTATATTTTTGGGTGATTTTTTCCACCTTCAAAAATGACCGGCCTACAAAAAATGTATTATAAATCTCTCGTTATGCTATGTTTTTTGCCAAATATTTGGTTCCAACTTTGTGTCAACTTGTTTTATTTTATTTCAGCATACGGTCACGTCAACCTAGCCGTTACACCAACTATGACATTATGGATAAGTCAGTTTGACCTTTTCTTATCAGTCCAAAACATACATTTAGGAGGATGTAAGCTTCCTGGATATACAGTGGTGTGAATAAGTTATTACCCCCATGCTAAAGTTGCCTAAAAAGAGGAATAAAAAATCATCTTTTGGAAATTGATCTTAATGCCTTAATTAGAAAAATGAGGAAAAATCCAACCTTTAAGGGCACCAATTTTCTTTGTGTATGAATAATGTATCATAAATAAATAAATGTTCTTCCTTAAAATACAGGGTGCATAAGTCAGGCCCCCCCTATGTTAAATTCCCATAGAGTCAGGCAGATTTTTATTTTTAAAGGCCAGTTATTTCATGGATCCAGGATAATATGCATCCTGATAAAGTTTCCTTGGCCTTTGGAATTAAAATATCCCACATCATCACATTCCCTTCACCATACCTAGAGATTGGCATGGGGTACTTTCCATAAGATCATCTTTCAATGCAAATCAAACCAGCTATTAGGCTAACTGAAATAACACCATGCCAATCTCTAGGTATGGTGAAGGGAATGTGATGATGTGGGATATTTTAATTCCAAAGGCCAAGGGAACTTTATCAGGATGCATATTATCCTGGATCCATGAAATAACTGGCCTTTAAAAATAAAAATCTGCCTGACTCTACGGGAATTTAACATAGGGGGGGCCTGACTTATGCACCCTGTATTTTAAGGAAGAACATTTATTTATTTATGATACATTATTCATACACAAAGAAAATTGGTGTCCTTAAAGGTTGGATTTTTCCTCATTTTTCTAATTAAGGCATTAAGATCAATTTCCAAAAGATGATTTTTTATTCCTCTTTTTAGGCAACTTTAGCATGGGGGTAATAACTTATTCACACCACTGTATTTGTTGCTCTTATTTTTGCTCTTCACTTCCACTTCTCTTTTACCTCTACTTTCATTCTGCAAATATCTTGCTTCTTTGGGGTCCTTCTTTCTCTATAGTCTAATCTTCACAATCTTCATCTGTTAAATACAATACTTTGGAATTTATAATAAACTATAGAATAAGAAAGATCTTATTTTTGTTTAAACTTATTTGCAATTACAATTTTGATATACTTTATTCATTTGTTTGTTATTCCCTATTCGAATTTAACCTCTGACATAATCACTGCTTGACTGCCTGGATATCATTGCATCACCGGCCAAAATAATAATAATAATAATAAAAAAATAATAATTCAGCCTACGCCACTGGCAAGGTTTAAAGGGGCAAATTTCCTGAGATTTTAACAGTTATGTGTGTTGAACATCATAGAAGTCAATTTTACCATCTGTTAGTTTTGATTGTAGGAGAAAACTAGTTAATAAAAACGAAACAACAAAACTATTTTCAACTTACGGGTTTAAATTCGTCTTCATGTCAGCATCACAGGATGTGTCGTTTTCTTGTACTACAGTGGATTGATGACTCATCTGTGTCTCATAATTATTCATAAGACTGCATGTCCTTAACCTATGAAAAGATGCCTTAATTATTCATGACAGCATGCAAGATGCAACAGCATGTTCATATATATTTTCGATGCAGAGAAGAAATGCTGTGCATTTAGTTGTGTATTAAATTATAGCTGTCACAGGATATGTACTGCATGTAATTTACAGTGAGCTTATAAAACCACGAGTATATTGTGTAGGTGTAATGGTACATTGCTGTGTGCATCTGTGGGAAGCTTTGATGCTTTTAATGAGAGCAAAATAAAACGGTCTCAATCAGAAGCCGTAGCTGTGTTGTGGGGCTCTCACTTTTGTAGCACTTTTAAAACTGTGTGTGGTGCGAACTGACTCCTGCTGAAACAGGGGGGTTTCATGACCCTCTAATAAAAACACCTGTGATTGTGTGTGTCAGATGTGCTGCTCACCCCAGCTCTTGGTTGGACGTGTCACAGCTCCGGGAACTGTCCCCTGAACCCATCCTGCGTCTCTTGAGGGCTTGACTACCATCACTGGAATTCTCCTCAATGTCATCCTGTTTCAAGAGACATAAATAAGATTACTTCTAGGAAATTTCAACGTTCCCCATTGGGAGGAATTGAGAGATAATGTTTAGCACCGCAACCTAGATCTAAAACCATCTTATATTGCCGCAATAAACTATTAGTGTCTGTCCAAAACCATCCAAATAATACATGTGGGGTTATTTCATGCGTTTTAATTTCTTTTAGACAAGAAGTTTTACCCTGAGCATCATCTATGTATTTACCTCTCTCTCGGCTAGCAGGCTAATAGTAAATAAACAAAGGCGACTTTGGCTCACATTCAAGTTTTTACCGACGCAGTAATAGCATATATGTGAGCCTCATATTCTACAATGTTATAACTGCAGTCTGTGCTACGAGATGTAGCAGTAAACATCCACAGACCTTCACGGACTGCGTCCCAGGAGTCGCGGGATTGCTATCGCACGGTCTCGGCGACAGAACAGCCGCCATGTTGATGTTCTGCTAATGAAAGAGTGTCGCATTCCGACTGGAAACTAGGAACACAAGAAAGTGTTCCGACCTCAACACGCAAAAAGAACCGTGTAATATACTATTGTAAATATTTTATGTTGAAAACAAAATTTCATTTAATCTTATTTACATTTTATACACTTTTCATAGGAATAGTTTATATTTAATTTAAAAGCAATATTTGTTATGCTTTTCTATTATTAATTGAATGGACATCATTTAAATTAAATACACAAAAGGCTAGATTACTTTGATTATCTCTCCAAAACGCATTGGCCCGTAGCTGTTTTTTTTAAATGTATTAATAATTTCAAGTACAATACATTTTGAACTTACAGCTGGGGTAAAATCTAAATTAATTAATAACATATTGTGTGCGTGTGTGTGTGTGTGTGTGTGTGTGTGTGTGTGTGTGTGTTTGTGTGTGTGTGTGTTTCTTTACCGTGTCCCTAGAGAAGAAGACAAGTTATCAAATATTGCAACCTAAAGGCATAATTTATTAATAACAAGATATTAAGGGGGGAAAGTGAAAACACATCGAAAATGTGTTTACTTCAGGTAAGGCTATATGAATGACACATCAGCTGTCCAATCGTAGACCGCTTGGAAAGTCTTAGTAGCCAATCGGGACGCAGGAGGCGGGGCATTGAAGAAAAAAGAAAAAAAAACAGGCTGATCTGCTCGCGCGAGTGTCAGGAACAGGAAGTGAAAGCGGCTGCTGCTGAGTGCTTGAAGCACGGGCACTTTCTTCAGAAACTTCGGCTGCCTCTGACGGCTCCGGTGCTTTGAAAGATGGACAGCCAAGGAAGAAAAGTGGTGGTTTGTGATAACGGAACAGGGGTACGTTCGCAGCTCTAACACCTGTCATTTATTTTTGGCTCGTTTAGCTTTTGGCTAAAGTTAAATGAGAGTGAGGAAGACAGACCCCTAACAGGAAGTCCTGAAAGCTTAGCGCATATATAAGGAATGTGTGACAGCTGCCCTTATATTCATCTCTGCCGAAAACTCGGTGTTATCCGACTGTGAAGCGATTCATGTTCTTTATTTCTCATATTTAAGATAAAACCAGCGCATTACAGTCCGCATTAGATGCTAGCAGCACAGTTGCTGTGAAATGTGGGGTGATTTGGGTAACGTTATATGATCCTGATAAATCGCTAACTACATGCATAATAACATAAACACAATGGCACACAAATAATAATTTAGTTTTTTCGATTATGGGTCGGTTGCATGATCAAAACCCCGAGGGCTCAATCCTGCAGCTAGCAGCGTTATCTCAGCCTGCTAGCTTTCTCCTGTCATTGCTATCATAATACATCATTGAGATTAATTTTGCTTTACAGTGGCTACAGTTAAAACATGCTGTTCCCATCCACTATGAATGTTGCCTTTTATGGATCATCCACTTGCTTTGATAACGTTTAGCATATTGCAAGCACCGGGTGATGTTACTTCCTCTCGCGCCTTTTCGGTGTATAGCTGTGTAAGTTAAATCGAGTTTCACTAATGCTGGGGAAGATCTGTATTGGTAGATCATAAAATGAAGACATCATACATAATATAATTGATGCCTGATATAATTTACCCTGGGATTTGGGGGCGTGGTCATATATTTTGACGTCATAGTTGGCTAGTGAGTGACGTGATCAGAATGCAAACAGTGAGATCTGGGAATAATGTGATCAAGGAATATTTTAGTAGTCTATTACAGTAAATACTAAAAGTGGTTGGGCCCGGACGGCCAATGAAATAAAGAGCCACAACGAGTCAGAAGGAAGTGATGTCACCTGTTAAAACCACAGCTTGCACAGAGAAAGCAGTGTTAGTTGACCAATAAATGAGCCTGAAAGCCTTCAGACCATTTTTGGAATCGTGTTATCGTGCATAGAAACAAGTGACATTTTTATTGAGTTTTATGCAAAGTGAGTTTTATGCAAACATATTTGTTGGTATGATGACTATATAAACAAAAAAACAAAACAATTAAAGGGATAGTTCACCCAAAAATTAAAATTCTGTAATCATTTACTCACCCTCATGTTGTTCCAAACCCGTATGAGTTTCTTTCTTCTGTTGAACCCAAAATATAATATTTTGAAGAATGTTGGTAACTAAACAGTTGATGGTAAGTGATGACAGAATTTAAATTAAGAACACATTTATAAAAATGTACAGATCATCACATGCTGTATCTATAAAGTGCAGTATGAACTATAAAGTGCAGCAGGAGTCAGTCCTAAAACCTGGAAACCTTTTTTTTTTTTAATGTTTACAATATTTTTGGTTAAATGCCTAAGGTCTGTGGTCATTTTTATGTTTCTTGTGGAAAGCAGTTGCTAACAAGTGGCTAAATGGGACTACAACACACACAGACACACTCACACACACATATATATATATATATATATGCAATATGCAACCGTAGTTAGACACTTGTATGATTCTTTATATCTTCAACAGACTTCAGCAGATGATTTTGCTAAACTAACACAATACAACAAGATGAAGGTGTCCGCTAACATGACAATACCAAAGTATAAAATCCTATAATATTGAGTTAATACATATAAAAACACAAACCAACACATTCTCACACTTGTGAAAGTTTAACACACTAAGTGACGACACGTTGACCGACGCTTTTGCAGCTTTCGAATGTGGCATCGATCTACGTATACATATCTATGATACAGAGGATGTCAGGACAGTAAATGTCATCACATCAAACTGCTTTGTTTTAGATTGACAGATTATTTGGAAACAACAATGGTGATGTTGAAGTCATGTTCCTGTGGTGTAGTTCTTTATAGCTTTTAATTCTGGTGATTCCATTTAGATCATAAAAGTTCTATTTATTTGTGAAGATTATCATGATGAACAAAACATGAAGAATCATACATTTTTGTTGGTTAACCAATGGAAAAATGCAATGGAGGGAACCAGTGTGATGCTAACTTCCTGATTGGCCTACAAACTTATGTCCTCCTTGTGGTATTTTATAAAACATATGTGTGTTGTAGCATTCTAAAAGCCATTAAAACCAGGCCATTTGTCATTGGAAATTCAGGAAAAATTCTATACAATTAAATATAGTTTTTCTAATTATGCTCATCTGTGGAATTGCTAGAAATTGCTATTTTTGAGTGCAATCTCTATGAAATTGATACTTTTATCCGGTAATCACAAAAACCTAGTTGGTCAAATATTGTAGTGACTGATAATAATAATAATGTTTTTTTTAAAATATTTTTTTATTTTATAATATTTTTTTATTAATAAAAAAAAAAAATATATATATATATATATATATATATATATATATACTTTTTTGTTGTTGTTGCATTTAACATATAACCTCCATAACAATGGCTAATCATCAAGATGTGTTAAAGGCATCAAATTCAGTTTTGTTTTGCTATCTTGTTGTCTCTCCTTTTTTAACAAGTAGAGGATGAACACAGTATTCTTCATTACTTTTCTCTCTCTCTCTGAATCCTTTAGTTTGTCAAGTGTGGTTATGCCGGATCCAACTTCCCAGAGCACATCTTCCCAGCACTGGTGGGCCGTCCCATCATCCGATCCACAACTAAAGTGGGCAACATTGAGATTAAGGTGAGGTCCACACTCGCACTCAGTCTACTCTCTGCCTGCTCATACGATCAATTTGGAGTTTGTTAGAGAATACTGTGTATTGAAGGATTCTCAAAAGTGATGTTCAAAACTTTTAGCTTGGTTGTTTTAAAGTCCCCCTGTAGTCAAGGCATATAGTTTGTTATAACATCGTAATACACCCGCATCATATACCCTCTATATTGCTAAATCTACTCAAATATCAACAGTAAAATATACCGGGATAACCTTGCATCTCTCGAGACCCTGCTAGTTTTCTGTTAATGATATGCTAAAGCTCGCCGGCACGTTGATGTCATTGATGTCAAGGTGGTTTGTGACGTCAGATACACCAGCGATTTCAAACCGCGTCTTCGGTTCACTGCAGTTTTAAAGAGAAAATACTCAGCAATGCTGTCGACTTATGAATTTACACACGGTTTGTCTTAAAGCATATTAAAAACACCACATAGACATATAAACAATATTAAAAACTTGATTTTCACCACAGGGGGACTTTAAATGAAGCCTTCATTCGGTCCTGTTCGACCTTCTTTTAATACTTACACTCTTTCCTTCTTGTTCTTCACATGGTAAAGTAGAATAACAAAAAAATGGTAAGTGCAGCTCGACGTTTGCTCTGTTTAACACTCATCGCCTGCTGAGGAGAGTGTGTTGCACCATGCAGTATTACAGTGGTGTTGCAGATTATTGATCTCCGATTACTATTGATTCTTGATTTATTTTGTACAGTTTCTCATTCCTTATAAACTTCAGTAAAAGAAACTAGGGCTGTCAAACGATTAATCGCGATTAATCGCATCCAAAATAAAAGTTTGTGTTTACATAATATATGTGTGTGTACTGTGTATAATTATTTTTAATACATAAATACCCACACATGCATGTGTATTTAAGAAATATTTGCATGCATATACTGTATATAGACTGAATGTAGCCTATATATAATGTATATTTTATATAAATATAAACATTTTATATATAAATAACATATTTTTCTTAAATATATACATGTGTGCATTTATATACAAAATAATTATAAACGGTACACACACATATATTATGTAAACACAAACTTTTATTTTGGATGCGATTAATCGTGATTAATCGTTTGACAGCCCTAAAAGAAACTGCAATTTTCTATATCATTGCACAATATATTGTGAGTATTCTATGTATCGCCCAGCCCTTTATTTTTTGTATTGTTTGATCTAAATTGCCACAGTGCACTTTGTCTTCTGTTTCAAAGCTGCAAATGTCTTTCACAGAACTTGGCAACTATTCATATCCCCATCAGACATTATAGCTTAATTTCCTTCTCCGGTCCGAAATAGATTTAGCAGAAGTCGGCCTCAAGATGGAGGGAAATGTTGATGTTTCTGCACTTTTTGTAGCTGCCCATCATCCTGTCTGTCTGTTCAGTGTCCTCTGGCCTCTAGAATAATGTTTGAGGAACTAGAAGAAAACCAATACGCTCTAAATAGATTCTGACGTGTCACGGAAGATGCATTGGTAGCAGTGTTCACAAGAGATGGTACACGCAGAGCTCCTTTTTTCAAAACACTTCTAGACAACCCTGAATATGCCTTTTCAGATGAACACAATGTTGCTGAAAGTGTGCTGTAACCAGGAAGTTAGTCAGACAGATGAAATTTAAGGACAGCGGGGCTCCATTGAAAACACATGGCACTACCAGACACATCCTGTGCCGGTGCCAAAGAACACACTGTACCCGTGCACGACGTGATAATCCATACAATTAACATTCAGTGATTCATTCAACACTCAAAGCCTGCCTAGTTATTAGAGATGTTCTCTCAGACAAGCATCTCTATTACCAAAGTGTATATCTGAAAGAAGTCACTCTTTGGATTTAAATAGGCAAATGATGAAGAGTCTACGACTGGATCATTATTGCAGTGATTGTGTTTCTAGCATGTTATATGTTTGGCAACAGTTCTTCTAAGCATAATTGATGAAGTGTGTAGCTTTTCATTTCTTAAACATCCATGTATGAAGAAACATCATGACCATATTCCAGGAAGACAATGTCAAGATTCATCAGGGTTAAACTGTGAAAGAATGGTTGTGAGGGAGCAACAAGAATCATTTTCACACATGAATTGTCTCCTCTGAGTCCAGACACTGAAAGTTTTTGAGATGTGCTGGAGGAGGCTTTACAGAGTGCTGGACTCTTGCATTGTTAATACAAGATCTTGACCAAACATTGATGCACCTCTTGATGGAAATAAATGTTGTGATGATGTTATTTCCATCAAGAGGTGCGTACATTTTTGCAAGAGTCAAGCTCTCTGTAAAGTCTACTGGAATATGGCCATGATGTGTCTTCTTAGATGGTTGTTTAAGCAATACAAAGCAACACACTCCATCAATTAGGGTTAAAAGAACAGTCGTTATAGTTATGGTGTGGAATTAGAACAATTAATAAAACGTATCATCTTTGGTGTGAACAGGTATTAAAGGGGTCATGAATTGAGAATTAAAATTTCCTTGATCTTTTGACAGTTACGAGGTCGTTATACTATAAAAAATATCATGTAAGTTTCAAAACTCAAAACTTCCTTGTTATTCCAAAAACAGCTTTTATTGAAACCAAGACCAGAAAACGATATGATCTCAGGGTACCCGCGGGTCTTAAAAGCCTTGAAAAAGTCTTGAATTTGATCATCTCAAATTAAGGCCTTAAAAGCCTTGAATTTTGTATATCAAGTCTTGGATTTCGTTACAAAGGTCTTATTTATGTTTTTGCCTTTGCTAGGATTAAGTTCATACCGTAACTAAATTAACTGTTACTAATGTAGGCTAATTCAAAATGTATGCAACGTTGAGTCAGAGACAATTTTGGTTGAGTGCACCTCGCGCTCCACGTCATAGCAGAAAAAGCGATCGCGTGCGCACCCGTTACTAGGCAAGTGAGGTACAGAACAAGATAGTACCTAGCCTAGTTTAATCCGCTGTGGCCACAAATGACAGAATTTAAACCCCAAATACGAGCTTTTCTGTTAAAAGAACATACTTTCTACCCGGTCTTTTCAATAGTATCTGGCAACCATGCGCAGATTGCGCACGCTCTCTCTCTACACTGCTGAAGCGCAGATTATCTGAAAACACAGACAAGCTGGTTGACAACAGTTGGCATTCAGCGATCTTTATTTAAAATGTTGTACTTGAATTAAAGTGTCATCCAGTCGATCTGTGTTCTGTCACGAGCCGCTTGCGCTGTTTGTGCGACTACATCTGCGATCAAAATGCAGGCTGATATATCCACCAGTGTTCATACGAGCAAGAATGCAATGTTTCCCGAATATCCACACGATTTCAAATGTGACATTGATTTTATACAACAGTAAAAAAGAAAAGAAAAAAGGGTAACATTAAGTGATGTACCACATTTAAAACAGCATTGTCAGGCTTATTGCTCTGTTTTGCAACGAAATATGTGGCTTTGAACGAATCGTGAGATCCAATTAATGAATGACTCAAAGACTCACTCATAAAGATAGTGAGTTACTGCCACCTACTGGCGATTTTAATGTTTTTTAACATTGCAAATTTAACGAACATCGTTTTATTTAAAGCATTATTTCTGTCTTTTTTTAAGGTATTACAAAGGTAAAAAAAGTGATAATTATGTAGAACTGCACAAGTGCTACTGCTAAAGTCGTGCAATGTCAATAATTTCTCATAAGCCTAATTGAATTGGCCTAGAGAGAATAATTATTATGACATTTTCTGTCTAAAGACTACATATAAAATAACTACCAAAAGTAAAGTAACTGCAGTTTGACTAAAAGTGGACAAAAAATGCAAAGACTTTTCGTCAACTACAACTATAAAAAACTGGATGACTCAAATGTGATTAAGACCAATAAACATTTTCGTCTTAAGACTAAATAAAAAATGGCTGCCAAAATTACACTGGCCTACATACACGTGCGCGCTACAATGCTGTTGCGTATGTATTAAATGAATTAAATAAAACATTTTACTTAAATTATCAGTCAAGTAGCCTCCTTGTACATAATTATTTTCTAGGGTTTAAAATGTACACAGATTTGACATTTTCCCCTCATACTTCTGTCGGAATGGGTACGAAGTTGGCATTGAATTTCATTTGAAATGGTATTAAAAAGGTCTTAAAAAGCCTTGAATTTAAGTTGGAGGATCCTGGGGGTACCCTGGATCTGAAAAGTGTGGAATTATGACGTCATAGGGCAGCGAAAGACCGCTTTTGCAGAAGAATATCAACGCCTACGTCTACATCACCGCGTCTTTGGTGCCGCCCACTGGTGCGTTAGTGAATAGTGACATGAGAACGAGTAAAGATCGACACAGGATCAATATCATTACCTTCCGATGGATCCTAATGCTAGGAATGTGTTTTTTACTTTGTGAATGTCTCAGCAGGGCTGTTGTATTCGGTGCATTTCACTGTGGATTATTTGCTAATTCAGTCGCAATTTCAGCGCAGGCTTTGCAAACAGACTTTTACGATATGGATCCGTCCGCAACGTCACAAACATGATTTCTGATGTGTAATTATTCAAGTTCAGAGCGATTTTCTTTCTCAAAATCGTTCAATGCTGTTTCTGCATCAGTAAATCAAGCCAGTGACTAAACGATCAACTTCACTTTGTTTCTCTTTAGTAGCATTAAAATATGTTATTTAAATTGTGATTAAATTATATACAGATAGTGATTTAAAAAAAAGAACACTCCCTTTTTCACAATTCGTTAATCTTGACAGCTGTAATAGTAAAAACTTTCTTTTTTCGAGAGAGTTTCACATGTATTACTTACGTTAGCCAATCACAGCAGTGGGCGTATACACTGGAGTCTCACAGCAGCCAATCACAGCAGTGGGCGTATACACTGGAGTCTCTCAGCAGCCAATCACAGTAGTGGGCGTATTCACGAGTCTCACAGACAGCAGCCAATCACAGCAGTGGGCGTATACACTGGAGTCTCACAGACAGCAGCCAATCACAGCAGTGGGCGTATACACTGGAGTCTCTCAGCAGCCAATCACAGCAGTGGGCGTATACACAGGAGTCTCTCAGCAGCCAATCACAGCAGTGGGCGTATACACGAGTCTCACAGCAGCCAATCACAGCAGTGGGCGTATACACTGGAGTCTCACAGCAGCCAATCACAGCAGTGGCCGTACACACTGGAGTCTCACAGCAGCCAATCACAGCAGTGGGCGTATACACTGGAGTCTCACAGCAGCCAATCACAGCAGTGGCCGTATATACTGGAGTCTCACAGCAGCCAATCACAGCAGTGGGCGTATACACGAGTCTCACAGCAGCCAATCACAGCAGTGGGCGTATACACGAGTCTCACAGCAGCCAATCACAGCAGTGGGCGTTCACACTGGAGTCTCACAGCAGCCAATCACAGCAGTGGGCGTTCACACTGGAGTCTCACAGCAGCCAATCACAGCAGTGGGCGTTTACACTGGAGTCTCACAGCAGCCAATCACAGCAGTGGGTGTATACACTGGAGTCTCACAGCAGCCAATCACAGCAGTGGCCGTATATACTGGAGTCTCACAGCAGCCAATCACAGCAGTGGGCGTATACACTGGAGTCTCACACAGACTCACACGCCCCTTCAAACAGAGCGTTCAAATCAGAGGCTAAAATCAGGCTAGGAATCATGCCTTTTATTTCTAAATTATGACAATTTTTTTTATGTAAAAATCATATTAACATTAAAAGTGCACCTCAGGAAACATTATTAAATAGAAAAACATTCAATTCATGACCCCTTTAAAGCCAATGCTAAACATGTGAGAGTTTATCTGGGGTAAAGGGTGGTCAATGCAAATTACTAACATGTTGTTGTGCATGGAGATCTGCTGTTCTGTGCATGCTGGTTCTAGTGAACGAGTGCAACATCTGTCCGTATGCCCATCTCATCCCAGCGTGAGCTTGAGCCGTAACGAAGGCTTCCTCGTGACCCAAACCCTAACTGCACCAAAGTGGATCAGCTGTGGGACATGAGATTGCCGGTGCCGTGCATCTGTTGTGGAAATGCTGATGCTGAGCTGCCACATTGAAGTGTTTTTGACGGATTCTATATCACTGACCTCCGGTTTCGTCATCATAGCTATATGAGCCGAGATGGTTTTTCTAACCTTTGTCTTCTGATTACTCAGGATCTGATGGTGGGAGATGAAGCGAGTGAACTGCGCTCAATGCTGGAGGTGAACTATCCAATGGAGAACGGCATCGTCAGGAACTGGGATGATATGAAGCACTTATGGGATTACACCTTCGGCCCGGAGAAGCTCAATATCGAATCGCGCAACTGCAAGATCCTCCTCACAGAACCTCCCATGAACCCGACCAAGAACCGCGAGAAGATCATAGAGGTGTGTAGTCAGACCATTCGTCACATTTCACGCCGTAATCCAAAGAAAACAATTAAGAAATCATTTTTTCCATAAAGACAAATGAAGCCCCTAACCTGAGTTATTATATTGCTATAATTCTTGTTCATAATGGTAATTTTCATAAGTTTCTTATTACTGTTAAATTTCATGAGATTACTTTTAGTGTTAAATATATCCAAAAATTGTGTGTGAAAACATGCACAGAAAAATGCCTATCAAAACATCACTAAAAATGCTGAAAAGGGCGTATTTTATAAGAGTTTTGATGCCCTAAATTATGAATATACACTCCTGTTCATAAGTTTTAATTTTAAGTCAAGTGAAAGTCAACATTTTTACATTTGTTACATTTCTATTTCAAATAAATGCTGTTAAAGGATTAGTTCACTTTTAAAAATTTTTTTTGCTGAAAATTTACTCACCCCCATGTCATCCAAGATGTCCATGTCTTTCTCTCTTCAGTCGAAAAGAAATTAATGTTTTTGATGAAAACATTCCAGGATTTTTCTCCATATAATGGACTTCAATGGTAGCCAAACGGTTCAAGGTCTAAATGACCGTTTCAGTTCAGCTTCAAAGGGCTTTAAACGATACCAGACGATGAATAAGGGTCTTATCTAGAGAAACGATCGGTCATTTCAAAAATAATTAAAAAAGTTAAAGTTGTATAGGCACAAATGCTCGACTTGCGAACTCTCCTGTTCGAACTCGTTCATCAAAATGAACGAATCTTTTTTCGAGTCAATGACTCGTTCATCAAAATGAATGAATCTTTTTTCGAGTCATTGACTCGAAAAAAGATTCGTTCATTTTGATGAACGAGTTCGAACAGGAGAGTTCGCAAGTCGAGCATTTGTGCCTATAAAACTTTAACTTTTTTAATTATTTTTGAAATGACCGATCGTTTCTCTAGATAAGACCCTTATTCATCGTCTGGTATCGTTTAAAGCCCTTTGAAGCTGAACTGAAACGGTCATTTAGACCTTGAACCGTTTGGCTACCATTGAAGTCCATTATATGGAGAAAAATCCTGGAATGTTTTCATCAAAACATTAATTTCTTTTCGACTGAAGAGAGAAAGACATGGACATCTTGGATGACATGGGGGTGAGTAAATTATCAGCAAAAGTTTTTTAAAAAGTGAACTAATCCTTTAAGATGAATAAATATATCATATATATATTTTTCTTTGTTTGTCCCACTGCCCTTTAGGTCATGTTTGAGACGTACCAGTTTGCAGGTGTTTACATCGCCATCCAGGCTGTGCTAACACTTTATGCTCAAGGTGAGTTATCCTATGCACTGTATTAACCGTGTACACAACGTTATTGCTCAATGTTGAATTGGCAAACATTTTATTGCAATCAGTGCGTCGCTGATTCGGACATTATATCAATATTTGTCTGTTGTGCTACACCCAGGCCTTTTGACAGGAGTGGTGGTGGATTCGGGCGATGGAGTAACCCACATTTGTCCCGTGTACGAGGGCTTCTCTCTGCCCCATCTTACCAGGAGACTGGACATTGCGGGACGAGACATAACACGCTATCTCATTAAGGTATGGAATATTTAACTTTACATGCTTCAGCATCTCGGTTTAAATAATGTGAAGTATGTCATTTCACTTCCTCATTTAACACGAAAGAGCTTAGATGTCCCACGATTCCCTAAATTTCCCTAATAACATGTTAAAGCAACTACTCAGTCTAAGGGCCATTCAAACGAAGCATGTTTTTGTGTTTAAAAGTATAGTTCCCGTAACTCCTCGACAAATCCTTTAAATTTAACAGTATTTAGAAGGAATGAGAAATAAAACAAACATAATTTATAGTGGCATTCATTATAAACACCAATCCTAAATTAATTTATTTAAAGCTAAACTAAAAGAACAGCGTGTGTGAATACACATACATAGCTACAATAACCTTTGTAAGCTGTGAGTTGATGAAAACGTAATGGGATGCACTTACTGCCTCAGATGCGGCCGTTGTAATGGCTGACCAAACACAAATCTCAGACATTCGCGGGTGAAAAAACTCAATTTAAGCTTGATTTTGGTCAAATGTTAATAATCTAACGACACATGCAAGTGTCTGACCGTACATAAAGTCACAATACTACCTTTAAAAACATGGTTTACTTATTTAAAGCAGCGGTTCTACAATAACCTGCAATTTTCTCTGGTTTAAAAAGACACACCAGGCTGGATATTACATGCCATTAATTTTCACTTAAATGTAATGTTTTAACGGTTGGTGTCATATCCGCGGAAAAAACTCCTGAGATCCAAAAGCTGTGAAATGAGCTTGAACAATGATTGGTAAATTGACTGCTGAAGCATAATATTAAACAGAAAGATAAATAACATTATTAACAAGTTAAAAGTCATTTCAAATATGCATTTATGCTCAAAATGATTAAACTTGATTTTGTTTTTGTTTGTTCCTATTAAGATTTTGTTTGTTTCCTTTTTTCTTCTCGTTCCTTGAACACGTTCAGAGCCCGGCTTTGGAAAACGTCGCAAGTCGCCTCAGATGATAAAAAAAAAACGTGACTTACATTCCGACATGTTTGTTTGTTTTTTGGCATCACACAGTTGCTCTTGCTGCGAGGTTACGCCTTCAACCATTCGGCAGACTTCGAGACGGTGCGCATGATGAAGGAGAATCTCTGCTACGTGGGATACAACATCGAGCAGGAACAGAAGCTCGCCCTGGAGACCACCGTATTGGTGGAGACCTACACGGTCAGTTTTATGTGACTGGGAAGAATTTCATGAACCATTTTTAACGCAAGGTTGCGTTCTAAAAAGGTGTTAACAGCCTGCAGCGTGAAAGTATCCTTCTTGCTGAGATGTTCGAAAGTTACAGTTTGTGAGGCAGAAGTTTTTCTGGCTGGAGTTTTTAGTATGTGGTTTCACAGATTTCCCACTGGGACACGTAAGTGTTCTGCGTTTCCATGGTGAGATGCTCTTTGGATGGGATTTAGCAGCGGGGAAATTCTTCAGTCTACACTTTGACATCCTGTCTGTGAGACGCCACACACTGCTGGATTCTGATTGGCTGCTGGATGTGTAATTAAGCAGAGTGGTCTCAAGGGGGCAACAGTTGGTCAAGAGTTTTACTTGTCACATAAACTGGGCTAAGTTCCTTCTTTTCTTTTGAGTTTGTAGGTATGGGTGTGGTATTTTTCTTTTGATTTCATTTCTGAACTTTTTCTTTTAGAGGGAATAAGAGAATCAAAAGAACAAGTTTTGAAACGAGGAAGGCCGTGTGGTGTTGAAGTTGCTTAACCAGCATGTAACATCATTTCCTGCGTGGCCACAATCCTTCCCCAGCTGGGAAGCTCTGCATTTCCGACCTCTGGACAGTCCTCAATGGGCTCTTTATATACTCCCACGCACCCTGTCGCCATTTTCTCATTAGTCATCACAGTTCGGCTCGCTGTGGGTTACCCTTCAGACCTGAGACTTTGCTCAGTCTAACAGGAACATCTTATTATCAAGGCCAATTTGAAGTAGTGTGGGGCATGTGATAAGAAAGCAGCCGAATGTTGACACGAGGAGTGGTTATATACCACAGTATTTATCAGCCAGGTTACATACTTGTCATAAAACATATATACTTGCAGTCCTGTTGCCACTGGAGACAGTTTAATAACGTTTAACTTTTAATAATGTTAGGGCTGTGTAAGCTTTTTTTTCACAACTCTAAGATGCAAAAACAGGAAGGATCACAAATCTTGTCTAATAACATCTTTAGAGAAGTAGTCATTTTATATCAGCAGCAAAAGCCTCACAAATATATTGTGATTTTTACTATATATATGTGTTTGTGTGCGTATGTATATATATATTAAAATCACACTATATTTGCGAGGCTTTTGCTGCTGATATAAAATGACAACTATATAAATGACTATATATGTCTGTGTATAGATATATAGATAGATAGTATTTTTGTCTTGTTTCCAGTCCAAATATCAAAAAAATCTTAAATCAAGAAGGATTTACTAGAGAAGTAAAATGATGCAAGATATTATACCTTGTTTTCTGAAGAAAGTGAGTTTTTGCTTAAAACAAGCAAAATGACCTGCTTGTTTCTCACCCCATTGGAAGATAATTTAGCTTGTTTTAAGCAAAAACTCTCTTAATTTTAATTTCAGAAAACAAGATATAGGTAACACTTTACAATAAGGTTCATTAGTTAACTACATTAGTTAGCATGAACTAATAATGACCTGCTCTTATACAGCATTTATTAATCTTTGTCAATGTTAATTTAAACATTTACTAATACTTTATTAAAATCTTGTTAACATTAGTTAATGCGCTGTGAACTAACATGAACAAACAATGAACAGCTGTATTTTTATTAACTAGCGTTAACAAAGATGAACAAATACAGTAACAAATGTATTGCTCAGGGTTAGTTAATACATTAACCAATGTTAACTAATGAACCTTATTGTAAAGTGTTACCAAGATATAATATCTTGCGTCATTTTACTCATCTAGTCAATCCTTCTTGATGAGCAAAGAACAAACGAGGTAAAAATACCAAGTAAGAAAAGCATTGTTTGCTGTGTAGGTTCAATATCTTTAGGTTCGGTGTTAAAAATGCCAATGTGACAACTACAGGTGTGAACATCCTCTTTATATTGCCTTTTTTAAACCCCTAAACGGCTGTATGTTCTCTGTGCCTCCAGCTCCCTGATGGCCGGGTCATTAAGGTTGGAGGCGAGAGGTTCGAGGCCCCGGAGGCTCTGTTTCAGCCTCATCTCATTAATGTGGAAGGAGTCGGAGTGGCCGAACTGCTCTTCAACACCATTCACGCGGCAGACATTGACACAAGGTGAGCTCTTATTTCACACCACCAGCACTTCCCATAGTTGCTGATCTGATCCTCCCTTCAATATACAATAAGCTATGTATCATAATGTGACACTAAAATAAACAAACCAAGCAATAACAGGATAACCTAAAGACGAACACTTGGTTTTTTAGTAACTTCACCCTCTACCCTTCCAGTATCAATGAACCTCACTGTATGTTTTTATCATGCTCTCTCTTCCTCAGGGCTGAGTTCTATAAACACATTGTTCTGTCGGGAGGATCCACCATGTACCCTGGTCTGCCCTCTCGACTAGAGAGGGAACTTAAGCAGCTTTATCTAGAGCGGGTACTGAAGGGTGATGTTGACAAGCTCTCGGTAAGTTTGCCCAATCAGTGCATGTGTAAATGTGTCATCCATCAAACATGAGTTCAAAAGTAGCCCATTTGCATCTGAGTTTTAACAGTTTTAAGTAAGGCTGGACGATATAGTGAATCATGACTTACCAACTTTGTGATAGTGCCACAGAGTCGGTGTTTAAATCAAGTGGTTCTTCTGATAGTTCACTCTGCAAAGCCTTACATTAAAAATAATAGTCCGGAACAGAAGCTTTAGATATAATATTTTATAAAAAGTCTTTTATGTGTGTGTGTGTAGTATTATATTTGATATATCAGGCTTTTTTGGCTCCTAAAGTGTGATATAGTGAGAATACAGAGCTCATACTTGAGTAAGAAAAAACACCCAAAGACCCAAACTGAGCAAATATATGCAATTTGGTCCATTTGCTGATATTTCTATGGCCAAAAAGTGAGATGAAATTCTGATAGCTTGTAATGTAAATGTGATTTTTATAACAGTATAGCAGACTACTTGCATATGAATATCAGTTGTCACTCTATATCTCCCAAAAATATTTCTTTGTAAGGTGATATTTAAATGTTTAGTTTTATGATCAAAGCTCTGTATATGATAACATATAATGCAATGCAATACAATGATGATTGAGAGGTGAACAAATAGATGTTCCTCAAAAGCCTGATGGATGAAACCTGACGTGGATAATCAAGTAAACCTTATTGCTTCAGTAAATGTTCATCTTGAAATATGACTAATATTCTAAAAGTTATTCTCATGTTTACTTAATACAAATCAGTACAGAATTCACAGTGCATCACGACCTGGAAGAGGACCTTTTTTACAATTATACTAAAAGGACTTTTACTTACTATAAAAGTATAAACTATCAGTCAGACAACAGAAGCCATGAACTAGATGTTAGATAGATCATGTTGTTCGAAATGTACATATCAAATATGATACATTAGACTTTATAGGGTTAAGCTGGGATAAAATAAACTTTTTGAACTTTTTAAAGGCACACAGATGTGTGGTAATGCCTCCTGTGCACCAGCAGGTGGCGCTGCGTCACCTGCTCCTGTCCCGCTAAACAGACTGAGAACGCCACAGTGCCCAGCTGAGCTCCATCACATTTAAAACCTGGCCATTGGCCTGGAAAAGCATTTTGGGGAGCCTCAGAGTGGGCCGCATGTCAGGCCGCTATATATAGATGATCAATTTCAGATGGCATGCCGATACGCCCGAGCGACGTGTCTGTCTGCCTATCCCGAAACTGTGTTTAAGGCTAATTAAAAAGCAATCGACTTTACATGAAGGCCTCCATGAGACCCTTTCAGCCACCTGTTTATAGCCGGATGAACACAGAACGGCTCCACATACACCGTACACCTCATTATTCTCCCATTTGGGTTGGCCGCTCGATTCCCAACCGGACAGTGTGCTTTTTATATGCATTAAAGAGATCCATTCAAACCGTTTTCTGGTATGTGGGTCAGTGTCCATGCTATTCCACTCCCCTGAAATTCTCGTCACGCTGTCTATTTAATACCCCCATAGAAATTCAAGATCCGGATCGAGGACCCTCCCCGCCGCAAGCACATGGTGTTCCTGGGTGGAGCGGTGCTGGCTGACATCATGAAAGACAAGGACAACTTCTGGCTGACGCGGGAAGAGTATCAGGAAAAGGGCGTGCGCGTTCTGGAGAAGCTCGGCGTCACCGTCAGATAAGCACGGATAAACGGCCCTCGACCCCTGCATCTATTTCGCATCTCCTTTGTTCAGCCTGTTCTGCCAGGCAATCATGTCACCAGGTGTGGATTTATGGGTTTGAATTATGAATGGTACTGAGGAGGTTTTGTATTATGTTTTATTTGGTCTTCTGTCACTGCACTGACGTACGAGTGGCGGTCGCTTCATTCCTACTTTGCAGTGCATTTTTTTAATGTCCCCTTCACATAATGTAGAATATATTCATTATATAATAATAATAATCAATATATACTACTGTTCAAAAGTTTGAGGTCGGTAAGATCTTTTCATGTTTTTGAAAGAAGTACTATAGGCACAACAAGTATGTGATTTTAAAAATGATTATACTTAAAGTTAATATTGTGAATTTTATTACAATTTGAAAATGTATTATTTTCTATTTGAAAATGTATTTATTCCTGTGATGCAAAGCTGAATTTTCATCATCATTACTCCAGTCTTCAGTGTCACATGATCCTTCAGAAATCATTCTAATATGCGGATTTGCTGCTCAAGAAACAATTCTGATCATGATCAATGTTGAAAACAGTTGTGCTGCTTCATATATATTTTTTTTCAGGATTTGTTTAAAACGTTTTTTTTTTTAATTGAATTTTCTTCATTTACTGGACCTGTGCATCATTGCTTTAAAAAAAATAATAATAATAATTTATTTCAAAAAATATAAAAATGAACCATTCTTACCGACCCCAAACCTTTGAACGATAGTGTATACATTAAATGACAAATTATAAAAATGTCTTAATATATTGAATGAAATATTAAACCTTTCAAAAATATGAGAACCGGGGAAATGGGAAAACCGAGCACAAGCTTCTTTAAGTATTAGCTATGAATTCTGTGATGTTTTGTGCTGTTAGTTGGTTTGTGCTACTCTAAAACACTTCTGATAAATTTGATAAAATTACAGAAATTATAATATTATCGTTATTATGAAAAAATAGCAATTACTCTGAAGTGTCAGTTCCTCTCTGAGTAATGGCCAACTTTACATTTTAATTTCCATCCAATTAGGCATCGTTGTCTAAATAATGTTTTGATTTTAAATTCATGAAGTCTAAGTGTCTGATCTTAGCTAGAATGTGTTTCTAAAAACTCTTACAGAAACGCTTCCTTAAACTACAACACAAGCATATTAATTCCAGTGACCGAGTAAGAGTAGTGTGCGACAGGAATGACCCAATCAGTGATGAGTAATAGAAATATGTAACACCAAAGCTTACAAATGGTTATGACAGACACCATCATCACTTCTGTATTACTGCAAAGACTAATATAAGCTGTAATGAGCCCCGTTCACGACTGGATGTGTTGTTCTGTACGTCAGTCCGGTGACAGAGAGACAAATGCGTTATTGTCTGCCTGTAATGTAAGGGCAGAAATAAAATGAATTTTTTTTCCAGGGGAAATTACTTCTTTGCCAGAGTTACGATAAATGAAACCGAGCAACCAAAACTTATTGTGGTGGTTTTGATTCCAGTGTGGTCATGGAGCTTTAGCCCTGTAGCTGTAGCGAAGCCTTTCTGCTGTTTCTGTCTGTCCATTCTGTGCTGTGTCCCTGTTACTGTGTCATGTGCTTGTCCAGAATAATAAGAGGGACTCGAGTTACTGCGAAGTGGTTTTTTTTTTTGCGTTTTGAGAAATTGAACAGAGTTTGGGGGATTTTTTGCTTTGTCTGCCTTTAAAAATAGTTTAAGCACACTTCAACATAAGTTCAACGTTTGCAACTGAAGTTTTATGTTGCTTGTATCTAAATATATATATATATATTAAGAAAATGTTTTTTTTAATTCTCTAGTTGTCCTTTTGTTTTCAAGTTTTTTTTCACATGCAGTGCTGTGTATATTAAAAAAAATATATTCTGAAATCTCAATCAGACAGTTGCTTCAATTTATTCCCTTGAATTGATAATGCCGGGATGCTAGTTTTAAGAAAGGTTAGAGAATAAATCTGATACGGATAATATTGTTTCAGACCGATTGTTTATGGACATTCAAACAGTACATAACAAAAACATTGGTAGTTGTTCTGCCTCATATTGTCTCATGCATATATTTGAGACACCACATATTTGTCCAATATTATTTTAAATATATCCTTGTCCAGTGCCAATCACAATTTATGTAACTGGATCTCATTTTCCCCTCTATTTTTTATTTGTATCGTAGTGTAACTGCCTAATTCTGATTTAAATAAAGAATGTGATTTATATTTTTTCTGCTGTTACTTGTTCTTTTTTTTTTTTACCTCAATATCATACTCACGTTGACTTGATCCAAAAGAAGACAATTTAAAGGTAGGCTATACAATGTGCTTTTTTGTTCAAAATAAGTAGTCATTATATCATCGATTCTTCATCCAATTTACCAACCCAGATTCATTATGGTACGTCTATAAGTATTTATATTTCAGACCTGTAGGGATGGTTTTCCCGGGAAATTGCGTATATGCGTCACTCGCGTGCATGTCTCGTCATATCCGTAAATAGAGAAAAGTTGCTCCCTTTGACGCATGTCTGGTGGTGAGGGAGTAGCAGAGGTTAGTCGATTCGTCACAATGAGTGAGAAAGTTTGACAAGGAGCAGCTAATTCTCCAAACTCCGGGAATCACCCGTTTTAAACAAACAGCAAACTAGAATCAACATTAGCTTGGCTTTTCAGAGATGGCGAGAACTGAGGGATTTGAAAAGTTTTCAAAGCGACGTGGAGATGATGGCGTATTTATTACCCAACAGGTGAGTAAGGTATTTTATTGAACCCATAAATGTAGTCATGTAGTCATATGTCGTTGTAAAGCATTAGTCCTACCTATTGTGAAGGATCATATTCCACACAGTCGCAGAGCCGAAGCACAACCAAACAATATTCTTCCGCAAAATGCATGCAGTTTGTTTTTAACCGCTAGAGGGCCACAAGTTACATGTGTGTACTACAGTTTCTGTAAATGTTTTCCCATTTTTTCTATGATCAAACATTTGCCCTAGCTGCCAATGAATAAAATGTCACATGATAATGGGACTGTGAGGGAGGGGAGACATCACAATGGTGTTCTTATCTTGAAGTATGTCTAAAATCACTGCAGTTGTTGATTGTGATAGCCAGGGTAGTTAACTATTGTCAAGTGTTGGGAGCTTTCTTGAGTGTGTATAGCCTGAAAAAGCAGCTTCCTGATTACATTATGGCATCTGAGATACTTTGATGAGATTTGCAAATGGTGGTTATAGACTAACACTGGCAGCTCTCACTAGAAGTCATTGTGTAGTAAACAGATTTAATGAGGAATGCTTCTGAGGGCGTCCTGATTTGAAGTGATCAATAAGGAATTTGGACTGTCACTGGTGAACGTTCCCCTCAGTTCTCAAAATACCTCGCTGGTCCCTTGATCAAAGCGTGTCTAATCCTCAGCTTTCCCTCCGAGTCAGAAGTTACACAGATAAGGAGTCTGTGCTGTCCACCTTTGACCCTGATTACACTTTTTGGAGGAAGTGGTGCTCTAAAGTAGCACTTAAAAAGCCTTTGTTGTTGTGTACTGTTATACATCACCGCTCACATAAGGTGAAAAAAAAAAAAAAAATGAAGAAAGATGGGGTTTTTTCCACAGGGGAATTCATAAATCCTTCAAATACTAAAAAACAACAATACAAAAAACATGCAATCAGCTATCGAAGTCATATGACCTGTTTATGTAAGTTTTGTTATAACTACCTACATGGCTTATTTGAAGAGGGGTTTCAACAGTTAAGTGATATTTATATGAATTTCCTTACTAAGAGAAACACCAGAAGACCAAAATGTTTTTATTCATTTTACTGAAGATCAGGACATCAATATCAAATGACATAATTTATTGGAGTTCCAATTCCAGTTAAATAATAATAAAAAAAGACTGAAATGAGTATCAAAAACACATTTTCAAATTCGTAATCCTTAGTAACAAAGTAATAAAAAACATAAATTTTTAGATTTGCCAAATATCCTTCTGTTTTTGTATACAACACATCACATCAGAGTCAAAAAAAGAAAGAAAGAAAGAAAGAAAGAAAGTGCAACATGACCAGAGGACAATGAATAATAGTCGAATAATTCTAAAATCAATAAAACTAGACATTGTTTCTGGCTCCTTAATGCTAAATATACTTTTATTATCACATTATTTATCACAGCAAAATCATGGATGTAACAAATATATTCAATAGATCTAAAACCATGAATGCATGAAAGATATATCAGGAGTAGGGCAGAGTTGTTTTGTTTTTGCCGAGAACGTTAGAGATTAAATAAAGCTCAGTTTCTTATGTATGAATGTGACATTAAGCCATAAGCATAACATTTCTTTAAAGGGACAGTTCGCAAATGAAAATTCGATTTTGTCCAAACATATATGAGTTTCTTTCTTCTGTTGATATTTTGATAGATATTTTGAAGAATGTTGATGGTAGCCATTGACTTCTTCCATAGTATTTTTTCCTACTATGGCTACCGTCAACTGTCTGGTTAGCAACATTCTTCGAAATATCTTCTTTTGTGTTCAACAGAAGAAACAACCTCATACAGGCTTGGAACAAATATAAGGTGAGTAGCCTAAATGATGACAGGAATTTTGTTTGTTTGTTTGTTTGTTTGTTGGGGGATAACTATCCCTTTAAATGGTTTGCCATCGTGATCAGCTCTCCAGACAGACGTTCTTCGATCCGTAAAACGAATCCCACCGATTTGAAAGGCGCTCGGCCTGCAGTGTGACGTCATCGCTTCCGGTCTCTCCCCCCTCCCCCTCGCGCTGCTGCTGGTGCTCGCGCTGGGCTCGCGCTGTTGCTGCACAATAATCCAACATGGAGTAATCAGAGATGGGGCTCGTCGGGGCCACCCTCAGCAACATCAACGCATTTTCATCTAAGGGATTTTCGGGAATACACTCAAGCACTCAAAACTCTGGGAAATTATTCGGGGAGATCTGATTTAGGTCTCTTTAGTTCAAGATCCTCCAAGGTTTTCATCAGCAACTGGTTAGATCCAGTGAAAAAAAAAAAATAGAGAGAGAGAGAGAGAAAAAAGAAAAACCCATCAAGACGGAGACGAGGAGAGGAGAGAGCGCAACAAGAAGACACTTTAGACGAACGAAATGTGAGGGATTATTTGGAAAAGAGTGGGATAAAAAATGACGAGCGAACTGAGTGCACCCATTGTGGGATTTTTTTGTAGGTGAAACAAGAAAAATGATTGAAGAAACACACCCAAACGAGTAAGTACCTGGAAAGAAATGTCTTTTTTGGGGTAGGGTTTCTCTTTGTTCTGGACGGCTGTTCTAATGTCACGTCTTTTATGGTTAAAGCAAGTCAGCGAGCATCCGAGGATGGTGCTGGAAAAGTTTGGTAAACTATTTTACGTTGAAATGTTGAGTGGTATTGTCAGTGGAAAGGGGGATCGGGCCCTCTCCCACTGGAGGGAGGGAGGGGGGAAGATGGAGTAGGGGTGGATCGGAAATATTTGGTAAAGGGATTTGATGGTTTAAAGGCACTTCCTTAAACATTCCTATGTGTATTTGCACTCCACACGTTGCTTAGCGCAGCAGAGCCATTTTGTTTGTTTGTTTTTTGAACAATTGAGCGCGTTTAAATATTGACTATACAGTCATAAAAACCGAAGTGGTTTTATGTTCTGGAAAGTCAGTTGCAGTGGTCGGATATATATCCGTCATTTGTTTTCTTCTCAGGCGCTTTGAATCGTCCTCATTTGCATACAGTGCTTCATTCATAAAAACACCATTTGACTTTGTTGGCTCGGTGACAATGCGTTATGTGAGGCAGGTTTGCTGCTCGGGCTGTTTAGTTGGTTATATTGGGCCTGTAAACAATGTGCGTGAACTATTATAACTCAAGAATGTTAATTTACCTCGTTCAACCCCTTAATAATATGACAGGCCAGAGGTTTTCAATGTAATGGTTGGCCCTCGGCCGACATATTTTCTCGTTTCTTCGCCTCCACACGCTATTTGTTTGTTGTTCACCGACTCGACGGGTTGGCTCTAATAGGCCTTGTACTATATATGTCATGTCTTCAGCTGTATTTCCTAATATTCTGCCCTTCCGTGACAGAATTGCTGTCACACGTTAACAATAGTGGCCTCACGGATGAATTGGAGTCAGTCTGCCAGCGCTTGTCAAACGGAAGGGCGAAGGGCAGAGGAGTTGTTGTTTGCACTCATTCATAAAAGCTGTAACCTTCAGCCACTCCATTCATGACTGCAGAGATCGCTTCAGCGATAAGCGCGATCGGCGTGCGTCGAAAACACACGATCAAGACAACACACACCCCAGGAGGGTAGAATAGGGTAAAACATACTAATAGATATCAGCATAGGCTACTTCCCAGGTTGATTGCTTTAGAATTGCAAAAAAAAAAAAAAAATGTATCACACGTTTTCTGAAGTGTTTAAATATGCAAATGAGGCATTGTCTAATTAAATATGCACTAATTTGCTTACATTTTTAGAACATTGAAGCAAATTGGAGGAAGTCAGATTCAGAATTCTTATTTTTACAGAGGGGATTTCATTTGGATTTCTCTTTTTATCACTCCATAAATTAGAAAACACTGTCAACAGCCATAAAAAAAAAAATCACCAATTTCAGAGCCTTCAGAATATAGATAGGAATAAAACTACAGTTTGGAGGATGTAAGTTCTGCAGAAGTGAGAAAAAACTCGGCCTTTACATATACTGTAAGTGAAATCTACAGACGCAAATAGATAAAGTGCTATAAAAGATACTTTAAAAGTGTAAAATAAAAATAAAAAAACACTTTATAAACAGCAAAAAAGCCACACAAAAAAATCTCAAAATTGACAGATGCATGAAAAAAACAGTATTTTTGCCTGTAGTGTTTCGCCTTAAAACGACTTTTTGCAAATAGTGTACGTGTACGTAATACATAAACAGGCAGGTGCAACTGAAAGGTGAGTTACCAAATGAAAACCAAGCTTACTTACTCATTAATTACTGTCCGTGAAGTTATTACACATTACGCTGGACATTAATGAAACCATTTCCTCCAAAATACCAGTTATTTCAGGGCTTATTACCATGATAAATGTTTATTTACGTCCATCAATATTAAGTTTGCAGGTGGTTCAAACTAACTGAGGTTGCTTACATTGGTAGTTAAGGTCAGGTTATATAAGTTATACCCTTACCAAAGTTATTGTGGTAATCATAGTTACTGCTGCTTACTAAGTATTATGTCCTAACATTTAAACCAATAAATTGATACAATTCACTTATTGTGTACATACATGTTTTAGGTTGTACTCATCTATTAAAAAAAACATAACCTAACCCTAACCCACCCATAAACCAGACCACCCTTACTCGCATCCCACCTTAATAGCAGCAAAAGATTTTTGCAACACTACAGGCTAGTGCACACAATAAGTTTCATTACACCAAACAATTTTTCGTTACACTTTGTTTGGTAACACATTATTTTAGTGTCCTTGTTACATGTAGCTACTTACCATAGTAATAACAGTAAATTATGCATAATTAATTACATGCAATTGACTCTCAACCAAACTCTATATTAAGCACATGTTGTTAATTCATATTACTCGGTACTTACATATACAATTACACCGTAACAATGACACCTCAAAATCAAGTGTAACCCTTTATTTTAAGGTGTCCTTGTTATGGTAATATTAATTAAAACATTGCTTTATGGTTAGGTGTAGGGTTTGGTTTAGGGTTAGTTGCATGCGATTATGCGTCATTTACTGTTATTATTGCAGTAATTACATGTAACATATGTAACACGGACACTGTAAAATAAAGTGTTACCCAATTCTTTTTAACATTTGATTGTAAGTTTGCACATTATATACTCATCTACCATGTTATTCAGGGACTAGCAGGTTGAGGAGCTTGTTACCCAATAGGATGCATGTGATATAGCACACAAACACAGGCCGACCAGTCATGCCAATCGTATTGATCTCTGTAAAAATGTTCCCAAACTAACATTTGACTCTGCCTGTAAATAGTATAGAGGACAACAGTGCAAAATGACTTTGAGAAAAGGTCACCCGGTCCCCAACCATTCCCAATCCCCTGCCCTGTGCAGGAAAAATCGATTTCAGATCCTCATTTTCACTCTGACTCATATACGAACAGCCTCGGCACAGACTGTGTGCCGTAAACAAAAGTATTACTTTGTGTATGTCAGTGTATGATTATCCTCATAGCTACGCGTCAATGCAATATTACAGTATTGTTAGATATTTTACAAAATTTTTGAAAATATAAATCATTATGACAGCATTTAGCTCCTTACTTCTTTTCCCAATCTGTCTGATATTTGTGACATGCTCGCTTGATCTGCAGCAATAATTAACCGTAATGTCTTAAAACGATGAGTCCTCAATGTTACACTAGCAAGCTCAGCGGTTTTAGAGCCTTATGTCTCTCTTTCTTTTAATTTGATTTAATATTGGTTATGTTAGCCATTTAATTCCCTTTAAGAGGATGTTGGACTGTATTGCTTTCCCTGGCTTTGTTTTGTCTGGAAAAAAAGAGCTTTACCTAAATCTGCTTATATTCTGATCGAGTTTTTATTTTTATTTGAAGTGTAATAAACCGAGGATTGACTGTTATGTTACTATGACCTCGATATATTTATATATTTATTTATTGTTAATGGGATGCTTATGTACTTGGGATGAGCTTTTGAATTCATATTCTTTGAGTAAATGGGCAAAAATGGGTTTTGTTTGAATGCAACAAAAGTCCTTAAACATTCCTGTTCATCGTTATCATGTTTGAAACCTGCCACAGTCACACTCACATTTTTCACATCTCGCACTACATTACAAGATAATAATACAAAAGAGACAAGTTAACACAAGTCAAGGTCCACGAAATGCACTATACTTTAGTTTTGGTCCTCCTCAGGTTATGTAACCAATAAATGAATATTGAAGCTGGCAAGTGCTTCACATATTTGCATAAGTTAAGTGAGTTTTTGTCCTCCGTAAGACTCCAAATATATGATTGAGCAACAAAACAGTAACAGAGGTGATAATAATGGCTCTTTTAGTAAATATCAGGGCTGCGAGATATCGTAATATCGCATAATGAACTGCAATAACTTATTTTAATACTTCAAAAACTTCTGAAAAGTCAATGTTTTCAGGCCGATACAGATAGCAGCGTTTGTCCGACGACATATGTGAGACAATCAACAAGCCGAACACAAGAATGTGAAACAAGTTTGTATGTTAAATATATTTAAATTGGTTTTATACACTTAAAGCAATATTTTATTGCATATCACATTATTAAAAAAAATATTACATATCACGTTTTTCTTCAATAATATGCAGCCCTATGTATATTTAAATACAATTGTCGAAGTAACCATGGAAAAGTGGTGAATTACAGATTTACAGTTGGCGTTTATTTCCATTTCAGATTTCAAGAAGTGCTTTTCTTATTTCCCATTATCAGACGTCCTGCGCTTCTTATGAATGTGTTTTACATCCTGTGGAAAAGACGCAAGGGCCAAATGCTCCTGCCCAATCTTCCAGGCTGTTAATTTTTTATTTGATTGTTTCCTTAAAGGTTTTCTTGGTCAAGCCAAGTAGTAAAATGTGATGGTTTATTTGTGAAGGCCACTCTGCTGTTGTAAAGCGGCCTGTCCAAACATAGCTCCCAGTCCTCCGGAGAATGAAAGCGTTGTCAACTTCTCACCCCTCTGTGGTCCTGCTGAGAAGGGAACACAGATAGCTCTTCTGTCACGGCCCAGACAGGAAGCCATTATCTGCGCTTTATTGAACCTGTTGTTCTTTTTCATTCAATCAGCCCATCCCTCCCCCCCCCGAAAAAGCATTGCCGAGCCAAATGAGGTCTTGTGAAATTCGGTGCTCTCATATGGAAATGCGCATGTGTCCACTGGAAGTCCAGTCGACTGCACAAGCTCTTTTATTCAGTGTGCTTCCTCCACAGCCCAGTGACTGGTCGTTCAATAGCAAAGCATGATAACGAGGAGACTTTTGCCAACGCGTTCCCAAGCCAGCCGATAGAAGCGGCCAAATGTCAGAGCCCAATCTTAGCCCGGCTGATCCAAGTTTGTTAACTCTAAATCAGGATTCAGACTGAATTGAATATCAAATGCAACGGGACACCTGGACGTGAACAATAGCTCTGGTATTACTTGCCACCATTATTTAGCCCTCTTTGTGTCCTTTCT